ATAACAGTTTGACCCTCAGCTAATTGAGGTGTGGGTGCTGGAGATGGAAAAGCAAAGGGGGAGAGAGCAGAAGAATCCAGGGCTTCAGATGACCTTTCTGAAAGCAAAAATGTAGCACATATACATATCTGCTCTTCCATTCCAAGACAAAGACTGTGTTTCATATTGTTGGTACATTCACACATTGCATTGAATGCAAATTTATGTTCTACCAGTGCTCATTAAGAAGGCTGTGAGAATCTTGCTCTGTTAAGTCATTCTCATTGGGTGTAAATTCTGCATGTGAGGAAGACGATTGGGGATGAATGCTCAAGCTCCACCCTTGCCTTTCCCATCTCTTTCTACATGTGGGTGGTAACTATCTGCAGAGAAGTCTTCCTTATTTCTGTAAGTTCTTTCCAAGATTTTAAAATCCTGATTCTTGAAATTAAATCAGTGAAACAGTCACCAGCTAAATATATGTAATCACACTTATATAAGTAAACATAAAACTAATTCAATTACACTGAGGGGAAGATAGAATTGTCAGCAGTGTAATAGTATGCTTTATTTTTAAAAACCAGGTAAATTCAATGCTCAGAAACACTGCCAGTTTGAAACTAGAGTTCACGCTATCTCATATTGACTCAGGCAACACATAGACAAAGTTGAAGATGTGGCCTTAACTGCCATGCCAGGGATCAGTGAAGATGGTGTGCAATGTCACAAACTAAGCTTGCTTCTATCTTACACTCCATACCCATATTGTTCTTTGATTATCAAAGATGCTTCATGTTGTCCTGGTATTGTCTTATGAAGCATCTATCCTTACTGTTAGAAGTGGTGTGTATCCCACTGTTTAATCCATCCTTCTAGCTATTGATGTAAGTAACCAGACAACATGGTTCAACTCAAAGGAGCATTTCTCTAGCAAAACAGTATAGCTCAGATGCTTCATAGGTGTTGAATGCCAAGTTTTCCTCCTTTTGCACATTCAAGGCAAGAGACCGTTTCTTTACAAGAAGCACTTTATTCTCCAAAGGATACCCATTAAATGCAGTCCCCACAGAATGTATGTCTGAGCATGCTGAGTGGTTTGTTGAACTTAATCTAAACCACTACTTCCTTTTGAGTCTGTCTGGGCCCAATCCCTTCTGAAGGGCCTGTTTAGAAGCGAGTCTGCCTCTTCCCTATACTTGTTGGATGGCCCTCCTTTTTCGACACTGCATCATGGGATCAAGAGTTGTATCAAGTTTTTCTGTCTCTGAGAACTCCTCCCCTGTGTCCCCACCCAACATATATGCATCTTGACAATTCTCAGAGCCTGCTTGAGCACTTGGAAAGAGTGGCCTTGAAATAATCAGTGCTTCTTTCATCTCAAAGCCTGGAGCCCCATGTTCCCAAGCTCCCTCCACCTCCTCTCCTTTATTCTCTGTCTCAGAGTCCAGATCGGTGTGATCCATGAGTCTGTGCCAAGTACAGCAGCCACCCTCATTCCTAACAATAGGGCAAGATTAGGGCAAAGTAGGACATGCTTGCTGGTCCCAAGCACCACATTCTCCCCATTTGGATTTGGTCTGAAATACCAAGGGAAAATGCAGGTCCATGGAAGGTAGGTTGTAAGGAAGCAAAATTTTTGACATTGCAGAACAAATTGTGGCACACATGAGTTATGCATCAGCTTCCAGTATCCTGGCTATGCCAAGCTTGAGCCAGCATGAGAAAACTTTAACTCTGGTTCTAAACTGGCAGGTGTGTGTGTGTCTGTGTGTTTTGCAATCACTGAGTTATATATACTCAGGGTAGGCATTAACATCAAAACAACATAGCTACAATATCAATAAACCATAAGAACTACAACAGCAAAAGCATTTTAAAGCCTGAGGGAAAAAGTATTTTCTTTATGTCTGGGATTACATTAATGTGGCTGGCTTGTGGACCTTCCTAAGCTGAAGGGCTGCTACCCAAAAGGTACTCTTTTCAGTTGCCCATTTATCAGTGTGGTGGATGGCACCAAGAGAGAGCCTCAGATGATGGTTGCAATGATCAGGTGGATTAGTGTTGGAGAACAAGGTCCAGCAAACACAGGATTTTGTGTGAAGGAGCTTTCAAGATTAAGATCAGTACTTTAAATTAGTTATGTAAATAAATTAGGAATCCCCACCCCAGCTAGCAAGGTAGTGGCTTATTCTAGACATAAGGGCTGAATTGAGCATCATGAGGCTAGTGAAAGTGTAAATTGGGGTCTGGGAAGAGCCTCATTTTGTCATAACTTGAATCATAAACTAGTATGCATACAACACAAACTATAAAACCAAGATTATGATTTCAAAAATATCAATCAGAGTAAGCTTCGGCTGATTTTAAAATTTAGTTTGTGGTAGTTTAATTGTCAAGACATCGAGGAGGTTAACAACACTTGTATAGCATCTAATTTGCAGGTAGGGATTTCTCCATTATCAGAATGAAGTACACAACTTATTTACACAATAATTTTTGGCTTGTTTAGACTGAAATCAGTGTATACATATTAGCTAAAATGGTATTTTAGATTCAAACTCTTATTCTTGATCATTTGTATGCCAGTTTTTTTAATTTAAAGAAATGCTCAAACTTCAGTGAGAGAGGAGATGAATTGCTTATAAAAATATTGATTGTAAATCAATTTTCTTACATTTTTTCTTAAAACAGGAGTTTTTGTGTAAACTGAGACAGCAATAAAACTGTACATTGCATATTACTCAGTTGTGACAGTTTTTTAAAGTGTAAATAAAATTTAGCTTTCCACCACAGAAGGGCTTCTTCATGGAAACCTTTAGATTCAGGATCCTGGATTTGACCGAAGGGGTGGCAATGTAATTTATGCTGATTCCTTTTTTGCCTGCAGCTCCGCCCCTCATTGCAGTGGGTTTTCCAGGTCCCCACAGTAGATTTTCTGGGAGTGTAAGAAGCTTCAGGAGAAGGGGAAATCAGCAAACACTAATTCCACTATTATGCTACCAGATGTGTACTTTGAGCAAACCTCTGCTGGAATTGCTTCTGTTAGTAGAAATGTTGAGGTCCAAGCCTAACTGTTAAATGCATAGAATTAATTCAAATCAAGATATTTTATTATTTTTATTACTTCTATAATAAGATAAGTAGCTAAATGCCTCTTGTGTTCTGTAGAGCACTTTTGAAAAATCCTCAGAACACAACCTGTGTAAAATCTGCTTTTCTAACTATTTAGAGAAATTATAACCTAATTATATGAAACCAGAAGCATAATCACTACAGTCGCACTCCTCTTGATTGCAGATCTTCTCTTACTACAAATTTAGGGGCTGTGTTGTGCTTAAAGCAATCAACATTTTATCCAATTAAATTCTCATGCTGTAAGGGTTAAAGCAGTCTCTTGAACTGAAATGTTGTCTTCCAGTTCATGTGCAAGGGCAGAGTACAGTTTCCATGGAAACTCATGGTATCATGTGTTTCATGGCGTTCCCTTGCATTCTGATAGTAACATATCTCTGCATGTAAAATGCCTAGAGTCAAATCCTGCTGTAATTATGAGTCCCTGGAAGGAAGCACATCTTATATTTTTAGATGCATATCATCATTAAAAAATAAGATGTAATAAAAAGATATAACGTCATAATACCATGAACAAATCTAGACAGTCAATATTTCTAAAATCACACTTTAAATAGTGGCACCTAAATAATGTCTTTAACCAAGTGGTTGATCACTGTTTAAAAACATGTTTTGCCTAATAGAAATGTGGCCTCCCTCCAGAAGGTTATTTCCAAATTAGAAGCAAATTGGATTTAAACAAAGGAATTTGGAAATTAGAGGGAGACTTTGACAGGATGAAACTGTAATTTAAAAAGGTTCCGGGGAAAGGAAAATCTGCTAAATGGGTGTGTGACTCTGTTACGCAGCTGTGTGTCAGCCTCGCCCATCTTGTTTGTGAGGGAAACTACAGGTTGCCTTTCCTTTACAGGGTCCTAGAAAGCAGCTTTCTCTTAACCGAATGGTAAAATGATCACATTTTAATTTGTGCCAGGTTGGATTTTTATTGTTAAGAATATTTTAAAAGTATGCTAAATAAAAGCAAATAAATAAATAAAATAAAAATGAGAGAAACTTTACTAGGCAAAGGATACTCCCTAGATTTTTTAGGAGTAACATCTTTAACAGTGCTGTGTCTCTGAAATCCTATTTAAAAGGTTACAGAGTAGTGGCTGTAAATGTTTGTGCGTGGGAATGAATTTATATGGGTGAAGAATTTTCACCTTTTCATTTGGCAGTGGCTACCAGGAGATGATGTCACCTTGCAGCCGATTGGCTGTTTCAGTACCTAGTTGCAGGGAAGAGAGAGAAGGATGCCGGCACAAATCTCTCTGGTGGATCTATGGTGTTTTCTGTCAGCTTTATATGAAATATTTTGATCTGTATTGAGATTGTCCATCTGTGTGGCCATGTGAACAAGTGGAAACATCTTAGTGCAAGGGTATTGAGAGCTGACAGAGGAATGAGGCGGCTGATCTGCAAACGGATCTGTGATTGTAAGTGTTAAAATCTGGGTGGAAGAAATGAAGCAGGGAGTGTTGGTAGATATATTGTGGGAGGATGTGTAGCAGAGATGGCAAGCATGAGTAGTAGAAAAGCCATGGATTTTTCTCCATTGAAATACTGGAATTAATTGAGTATTGCAAGCATTTGATCTGATCAGCAAATTAGAAGTAGACAGGAAATATTTTAATTGCAACAGATTTTTTTCTTTAATTAACAGAATATTAAGCTTTAAAAATATATTTCACTCCAGTATCATTTGAATAGCCTTTATAAGAAATGAAATAGAATTAAAAAAAACTTTTTGTTGTCTGTCTACAGCCTTAAAGACAAAGGACATAATTATTGATTTTGTTTTATTATTGGTGACTTTTGCTCTATCTTGCTGCAATGTGCTTATTTTTTAAAAAAGAAGACGAACAAGATGGAGTTATAACACATGCCTTTCTCTAAAACATTCTTTACAGATAAAAGCTTTGATGATGAAGAATCAGTGGATGGAAATAGGCCATCTTCAGCTGCTTCAGCTTTCAAGGTTCCTGCACCTAAGAAGCCTGGAAATCCTTCAAATACTTCAAGAAAGCCAGGTTCTGCTGGTGGGCCTAAGGTTGGAGGTGAGATTAAACTATTTATACTTGTGTGTGTGGATTTATCTGATCTTGGCTCTGCCAAAATTATATTGAAAAACTCTGAAAGATAATGTTTAATTCATAACTGCAGGTATTTTTTGCAGATCAGAAGAATGAAGGACCTTCCTTAACAAAATGTGGGCTGATACAGATTGAATTGTATGTGCATATAGACAATCCAGTAAATACACAGATAACTATAATTGGACAAAATCCTGGAGTAAAAAAAATGGGATGTATCACTAGATTGCCTACTTTTCTCATAAAGCGTTGGGAAAATACAGTATTAATTTACACTGCATTGTATTTTGCTATATTACTTCATATTGAAACTTCCAGGGAAATGCTTGGAAATGAGTAAAATAATCCACCAAGTTGAATCTGGAAATAATAGTAAAAGAAAACTTAGCCAATACCACAAAGCAGTTTGATAGTGAAAACAGAAAGCTTAGCCAGTGCCATAGAGCTATGATGTCTCCAGTGCATGAATGATTTTTTACTTTTGGAATGGGTGTTTCTTTTACATATTTGACTAAGACACACAATGCTTAAATCTTAAAATTCAGTCCAGAGATGAGACACAATGCTTTTTACAGGATATTTAGAACACATTAGCCTATCAGAAAGATTTCATTAGTATTTGTGCTATTTTCCACTTTGACTTTTTTGTGTAATTATTTTTTAAAGTTGAAGTTGCATCATAAATGCTTGAAATTTTGTTACTCATGAAGCTTTAATTGTGAATTGGGAAGCACTTTAAAATATATTTTAAGAGCATCAGGGCATGCATACTGTAATCCTGTCAAGCACTCAAACATATAAAAGTTGTCAAAAATTATCTTGCCTTATATAAATTTGTACTGTAGAAGTGTAGTATAATCTTGCTTGTATGCTGTTGCAACAGGTGTGCACTGGATGTGAGGTTAAGACAAAGTGTCTTGGCTTATCTGTGTGTCATGCATACTTTTTGGTGTAAAGGCTTAGTTCTTAATTTGAATAGTTTTAAATTATTTATGAAATTATTTCTCTTTAATATTTGGTTTATAAATGCTACATGTATTGACTATTCATAGCTTCATGCAGTACTTTCCTCATTATTGAATGTTGTGGACACTTGAATCACACTTCATGTGTAATGATAACCTTTTGTTTGTGGTAAATTCTCTGGCCTTAAACATTATAACAATTCCTAGCCATATTTACATATGTAACTAGGGCTGGTACAACTTAGGTAGAACAATAGTACAGGTAAGTGATACACCAGGTGGTTTTAATGGCATAAGTAAGTTCAGTAGGTCATGAAAAGAATCAGATTGAGAGGGTGGGGTTTTTGTGTAAGCTCAAAGCAATGGTACTGTGCAAAATACATTGTGGACCTGGCTGTTTTAAAGTCTTGAGACATTTCACCACTGGGGAAAACCCTGTGCACTGTATGGTTTTTACCTATTCTTCACTTTAACTTGGAAATGATTGCCAAATAACTTTCTTCCACAAGGAAAAGTAGACTTATTTAAAGAAAGAGATGGAATACTAGCAGACAGTTACAGGGAATTCTAGAGGCCCCCAGAAGTTTTAAAACTGATAAACAGGTATGGTGAAATTACTGCTAAAACTTTTCACAAGTTTGTGGATAGGCATCTGAAAATACATATACTAAAAATAGTAGACACCTTATATTTTGTTTTCAAAGATGATACTGTTTTATTTTGCATAACCTGAGACATTATTGTCTATTGGCAACTACTTTATTCATGGCATCTGACTGTCAGCTGTGTAAATCTATGGGAATCATTTCATTCAGGGAATCATTTCATTCAGCTGAGCCTGGGTTGGGAACATGTGCCCCTCCAGATATTGATGGACTGTAGCTACCATCAGCCCTTGTCAAAATAGTCAATCATGAGTATGGATGGGAGCTACAGTACAGCATCTGGAGATCTCCATGTTCCTTATCCTCAAGCTGAGGTCATAATTGTAGATATAACATAAATGTAGTCTTGTGAATCGGCATTTAAAGATTTGGGATTCTTCAGTCATACTGGCTTTCACAGATAATATATAAAAATAGGATTTGAACTAATGTGTAAATATGCATATCTGAAGGAGAATTTGAATTAATCATGCTCACTTTTTTTGAAAGTGAGTATGGACAGCCATCTGAGAAGGATGGTTTAACTTGGAGTCCTGGACTGAACAGGAAATTGGACCCAATAGCCCTCTGGCCCCTTCCATCTCTATTATTCTATGCTGCTTTGAAGTAATTTCTCCCAGTCAATGTCATATGGTAAATGTTTTTTTTCCTTGTTTCATATGTTAGAATTCAAAACTTACTGCATGCTGGCAATACACCAAAAAGAAAAAAATAATTTCATAGAATTGTGATAGGATGGGCATCATTTGGGCTCTAGGAATACAGAAAGTGGTAGCCAAATAGATGGAATTTGTATTGTTTTTCCAGATGTATTACTGCATCTTAGAGTTACTCTCATCTAGGACATTCAGGGTGGTTTTGACCATAAGTGTTTATCCTCTTTTGGTTGAAGTGAAGTTTTCTTCAAAGCAACACTTTTTCTTATTTTTTTACTCAAGAGCTTCTAACTACTATTAGTTTCGTGGTAAAGTTACCTCATGTTAAATGTATCTGTACAGTTCTACACAGTGAATCATATTTCCACTGACATAGTTATTGTTGTGATTGGCAGGTATACTGAAGATTTTAGCAGCATTCATTTTCTAGCCATTTTTTTATTTGGCAAAATATGTGCATCTACAAGAATAGTGAAATTAGGGCGATAAGAAATAGAGCATTTCTATAGCACATTTCCAATGTTCAAAGTTTTTTACACATGCACTGTTTATCTTGCAATGACCTTACAGTGTTGGCCAGTATTTTTATCCATTATTCTGCAGATTGCAGTCACAGAAATAGTAGTTTAAGAGCTTGAGCCAAAGATTTTGCAGTTCATACACAGAACCACTGTGCTGCATCATCACCATTTAGGGCCTGGAGCATCTGAAGGCGCATCTCCTTCCTTACACCTGCCTGTCCCCTAAGATCTAGGTTGGAGATGCTTCTTCAGGAGTCCTCTTTGAAAGAGATTTAGAGAGTAGCTACCCAGAGAATGGCCTTATCTGCGGTGGTGCCCCAGCTATGGAATATGCTCTCCAGAGAGGTGTACCTGGCACCGACACTGTATTCATTTTGGTACCAGGCCAAAACCTTTTTATTTTTCCAACATTTTAAGATTTAATTGTAGTTTTACTTGGGTTTTTCTTTGAGGATGCTGATGCTGTGCTTTTGTATTGCACTACCATCCTGAAACTTTGTGAAAGGATGGGATAAAAAAGCTTTTAATAAATATAAATCATAAATCCTCTAATCATTAGGGTGTAATGCCTTAAGGCACAAGGATTTCCCCTTTTTCATTTATAAATGCATTTTATTGGATAAAGTATTTATTTTCTTTCATACTTACTGACTTCAGAAGTCTTGTCAGGTTTTTGGCTACCACATCACTGAATTTCTGTGGTGTGACAGCAGGAGAAGAGTCCAATGCATAAAGACGTCTAGGGAGGAATTTGTCCTGGGACCACCTGACATTGCTTATCCTTGAACTAAAGTTAACCTGAAACCAGTAGGACAGAAAAACTGGACATTATACCTGAACCAAGACCCAGACTTGTCACTGCTCTCACAAGTCTGGATCTGTAATCCTATTTCAGATCTGGCTCTGACTCTGGTTTATTTAAAAGGGCAAACCAGGAGTCCAGGTCTGAATATAACACTAAGCTTTTCTGCTTCTCCCTGCATGTAACACTAAGCTTTTCCACTTCAGCTGTTCTTACTTGCAGGAGGAACCAGTCAGGAACAGTTGGTGAGCATGCTGCTAATTACTAATAAGCCAGAATTCTCAACACTTTTCCCTCAGTATTTGTATTACATCCTAACTATTCAGTGATGACAAACCTGTCTGACTCACTGGCCTTGCCACTTTTTATGGGTAACACTATATGTAAAGTACAGAAAATAAAAATTAAATCTGGAGCAAGTTCAAATCCTTGTAAATTCTCAGGATCCCAGAGATCAACCTTTCTAACAGCCATGTAACTTAAGTTCTGATAAAAACTTCCCATATCTTGTTTTTGCTGCTGCTGGTGGGTTGAGCAATCTTCCTGTTTGTTCATTCTTCAATTTTATCCTAATCACTGCTATTCTATTCACTTTCTTATCTTAGTCTCATCTGATGAACTTTGCACTATATTGCAAAGCAGAAGGTCCTTTTGGTTCTTTATAATGTATTCCTATACTTCCTTTCTTTGTTTTAAAAGTATTGACCTCCACTCTGTCTTACCATTATCCTAGTTTTAGTTATGATTAGAGATTTCAGCCAATATATGCTTCCCTGCCCCCTTTAAGAATGAGAAAGCCATCGTGTTTCTTATTCCCACTCACTGCTGGGTAGGAGAAACAGAATAAATTGTGCAAACCTGCTCTTCTACATAATTATACGAGCAACACATTTCACTTTTTCTACATGTCTTGTCAGAGAAAGTTGACTTTTTAGGACCAAGTTATTGCTGTTCTTGTAAATACTAAACAATGCACAGACTGACTTGGATCTCATGAAAAATGTAGTGAAATGGTCAATTTGATCTTTCTTTTTCAGTTAGGTGTCATTAAACATTCTGGCTAAATATAATTTTAACACTTGCAGGCACCACCAAAGAAGGAGGGGCTGGTGCTGTTGATGAAGATGATTTTATAAAGGCATTTACAGATGTTCCTACTGTCCAGGTAAAGTGCTGTCATCTAGTTATATTTTTGACATGGTTTAATTTTGATAGCTCTAGATTTTCTCAATTCACTTTTCATATCACAATGTGCCTTTTAAAGTTAACTTTTAATGAAATGGTAACTATTAATAGCATTTAATGAAAACACATGACCCTACATGTAATGCATTTTGGGATTTTTCCTCTTTTGTGGCTTCACTGAAGTATGAAAACCATGGACCACTTTGCAGTGCTGAGGAGGGACAGACTAAATGATTCATCTCTCTTGGATAAGCTTCTTAGCTAATAACCCTTACTAGGGTTTTTAATAATACATGTATTTGGGACTAGGAAGAAACAATCCTCCCAAGTCAGTTTGTGAGCTTTCTGTGATATGTTTTTTAATTTACTTGGTTGAACCTCCTCAGGTATCTTACATTTCAAGAGAGAGCTTTTTTGGTCAGGAATTGGTAACATAAGACCCCTGACCGCATCTGCATAGTTGTACATACAGAAGCCATGATAATCATAAGTGGCTTAAGTACATAGTATGGTGAATTCTGTCCTGAATAGGACATTGGACAAAGTAGTGATCAGAACCTTGACAGTTCTTGATTTTATATTAGGGTTATATATATTAGGGTTTTATATTAGAATTCAAATATTGATGTCTCGTTCCAGTTCTGCTTATTACTTAGCTGAACTGAGTCTTATCAATGAGCACAAGTTCTTGAATTCTAAACAAAGCAAAAATATGTTGGTATATTTTTTGAGCATAAAATCAGAAGCAAAGTTGCTTTGTAAATAAAGGTGGTAGCTGTGCTCACATGTAATGTTAAATATTAGAACAATTCTCAACCTGGTACCCCCCGAATGTGTTGGATTTCAACATGCTGCAACCATAACCATTCAATGGCCAAGAATGCTGGGAGTGATGGACCAAAATGTTTTGGCGGCTACTAGGCTGAAGAAGGTTCACTCAGCATTGCTCAGTCTTGCCTCTTTTTGTGGCCTCCCCATCTCCAAACTCATACTCTCCCTTCTCTGTCTGAATTGACCACAAGAAGGAAATAGAAACCTATTTTGATTAACGTGGCTGAACCCTACATTATGATAAATCTTAACTATGATTAGCTAAAGCAAGCTATCATAACTAACTATGATTAGAGTTTAGTTTGTTTATATTAGCTTTAGTTATGATTAACTACAATTTGCCTGAGTTCATATTTATTTATTTATTAAAACACTGATTCATCTAAAACAGAAGTGAAATTTTCTGAAAATCTCATAGCTGCCCCATAGAGTGGAAGAGAAAGACAAGAGGCTAGGCTTATTTTTATACCACTAAACTGGGGTCTCCAGTCTTTTGGAGCCTTTGGGTACATTAGGAATATTAAGAGTATATTCTGAACACTCTCAAAGTGTCAGCTGTGGGGTCTTGCTTAATTACATAATTACTGTTATGGTAGTATAGCCAGTAGCTAAATGGTGAAGTGTGACCTAAGAATCTATATGCAAGGCAGAAGTGGGATCTGTTCTCCAAAACATGAAGCTGCCGCATTTAACCCACAGTTATCTGCTCCAGCAAGAAAGCAAGCTGATAAACCTCAAAAACAAGTAACTTCACTAAGAAACTAAGCAAAGGACAGAAGTGAATCTAAGACTGAAATGCCAAATCATATACTTGTCCCTACAAAACAACAAAATGTACATTTCATACAAGAGAAGACTGGTGAGCCTTATAGAAAAACACAGGCAAAAGACTCAACCCAAAAACCTACACATCAAACTGCCTGCCTTTTTATTTTATTTTTTTAAAAAAACCTCTGGATCCTTAAAATGGTGTTGGAGATGGGCACTTCTCTTTCCTTCCCAGTTATAAATAAATACTAGCACATTTTTTTAAAAAAATCAGTAAGGGCAGAGAATCTAGCAAGTACCAAGAGAAGTAAGTGTGGAAATAGTGCCATGGGTACCATGTTATGGACCACACACTAAGCTACTGCTTAACTTTATTTCTAAACCAGCCCCATGTTAAACTAGAAGCAGGGGGTGTTTTTTTTGAGGGGGATTACTTGGGAAAAAACAGATAACTCCCACCAAATTAGAAGTTAAATTTATCTAGGTATAATATTAGAATTGACTCAAGATACATGTGTTGTGTGAACCTAATACCATGATTTGTTAACCACAAACAATCCATAGTTGATAACCATAAATCATGGGTTCCCTTTGTGGGTGGGTTGTGATTAACAAACCATGGTTTGTTAACACAGTTGGGGTAACAGAACATAACAACTTGTATGCAAACCTTTATTGTGGGCTGTTGTATTATATGAACCAAATTACAGTCAGATTGTAGATATTGGGTAAATGCAGGAGGAAGAAAAATAAGCACAAATTATGGTGGCACAGCTACACAACTTGCAGTCATGTTTCAGGATTCTCTTCTCAACAAGAAACAAAAGTTAACAGTGTGGGGTGGTGTTGTAGGGGGAATTGTAGAAAATTGCCCCACTTTCTACTAGGGAAGGAAATTATGCCACTAAAGGAAGGAGCAGTTCCTTTCACAAAAGTCATCTCAGGATCCAGTCTGTTGTCCTCCTGTATTAAAATCATTTTGCCAAAGTATTGCGTTATATATACTGATTAGCTATTAGACTGAGGGTAGCCTCAGACTTCCACAGCAGTCTTCCAGTATATATTCTTGTTTATTCATTAGAATATAATAGTAACCACATGTTAACCACATAAGAATTCATTTCAATTGCCCAACATTGCCTTTTTAATTTGTTTGGTGTTGATCATTCTAGTATGTCTTATATAATCTTTTCCTATCTGAATTTGATAAAAATCTTCTTAAAAGTTAACAAGGCTGTCCATAAAGCAAGTCATTATAGAAATCTCTTACTCCTAGCAATGTTGTTTTACTAAGCTGAAAGATATTTTCAAAAGAAATGCACAACAAATAATGTTTCTTAAATTGATGCTTATATTTTTCTAATTTACATTTATTCATTTATCTACCACATTTCTAGTTTCACTTGAACTTGAAGTTATAATTCAAGCTTATTTGAGCTTTCACACTGATGTTAAGATGCAGAGTTTTGAATTTTTTGTAACAGAAAGCCTCCATTAGAACATTGTTTACACTGTGGCTAGATTGAACTGGTCCAAAATAAGCCCAGTCCTTGGTTAAGTGGTCAAATTATAGTCAAAACAACTGCCTTCTAGAAGGCTCCAGTTAATGCCAGCCTTGCTGTCAAATAAAATGCTAGATACTATGGAAGTTCATCATTACAGTAAGTGCCTTCAGTGGTGGCCTTGACTCACAAGCACCTGTGGCCCAGCCATCTTTCAGAAGAAAACTTAAGAGTGAAGTGAAGAAAGCTTTGCTTTTGAAAACAAGAATGGGGTATCCTGTGCCTTTCCTTAATGTGCCTTACCTACTTTTAACAAATGTCCTCTCTGTAGCACTGTGCATGAGTATATACTTCTTTCAAGAACATGCCTATAAGGGATCTTTTGATGCCAAGCGTAGCGTGTCTCAACAGCTTTTCCCCAATGATGTATGTGCATGGAAAAGCAGTAGTTAGACTGAAAAATCAAGACATAAACATATTGTCTGTGGCTGGGAGAAAAGCTGCTATTTGTTTGACCACTGTGATGTCAAGATACCTTGCACACTTCAGTAGCATAGGGTCAGATCAACAAGACCTCTGCCACCTTTTTTACTCCAAACGTGAAACTGGGAAAGGGAGGAGGGGACCCTATATGAGATCATAGCCATGCCTGATCTCATATCAAAGCACAGTGTAAGTTACTAAGGGGAAGGATAGGGTCTTGGCAACCATAGATTTTGGCATGACTATGAAATCTAGCCAAAAATTATGGATCCCTATTGACTGTGGACGTATAAGTTCAGCAATGGCCAACCATATGTCTACCATCGTTTGAAGGCTACCATATGTAGCCGTCATACCATACATGAGAAGTACTGTATTTGTGTTTTTACAATGTTATAAAATGTAAAATTTCACCATCACATGCCTTGATGGTGAAGAGATATTACATAGATTCTAAAATAAAACTATAATCTTTGCCCAAAGTCAAGAGATTGTCAATCTCAGAATTCATGTGACTGCACAAGTGAGACATCTTTATATGCACAATTATGGAAACTTCAGGCAGGAAATAGTAATATGAGTGAAACCAAATTAGAGCATTTCCCTCAATACAGTTTAGAATTACTTTTACTTGAATATGCCTTCTTGTGAGAATACACATTCTTATGCAGCATTCACAGAACTTTTCAAACAATGTTTTCCGTAGTGACTGTCAATTAATTCGGTGTTTAATGACTTTTATTCCTGTGTGAGTAGGATAACAAGTCTTGTGATATTGTATTGCCCTCTATTGGCTGTCTGTAACATAAACAAGGTTGTCTTTATAGCATTATTTACATGTATCTTTCTGCATTTATTCTGCCCTGTCGTTTTTCATCCCAGGATACATTTTTGTGCTCCATATTTTGATATGCTTCCTCTAGTCCTCCTTCAATTTCTTGTTTGGGTTTTTTTTCAGTAACACTGAAGAAGTACAGTTGTATCAATATGCTATGGAGTATCAGTTCAAGAACCACAAAAGAAGAACACATTTATGAAATGCAGGCCTATCTTAACATATGTATTAGTTCCATTTCCCAGTCCCCATTTCAAGATGTTGGATTTAATATATATTTTCCTAAAATGTTTAGTTTGGACTCCACCTATTTTATGGTGTTCTCCGAGATTAACATACCCTGCTTGCATTATGCTTGCCATAATGTCCTGAATTATGGTTGTTGAAACTACTCTCATTCAAGAAATATAGGCATGTCTGATATGAATGCCAGGGGGCATTTGGGATGTTTCCTCTCAAAACTGACTCTTATTAATTATAGGAGATTGAGATTTTCAGGGGCAGCCAAGAAATGTCTCCAGAATATTAAGATATTTCTATAACAAACAGAACAATTAAATTTAATTTAAAAGTTGGGACTCCTATAGGAATATTTCTCAGATCAGATGGTCAAGTGGAGCCAGTGGAGAAAGAACACCCACTCCAAAGCTGTCACTCCAGTTGCTTGGCTTGATTGCTTAACTTAGATTGAACTATTCACTCTATAAGACTCAGCCTTAAATTTCGCCAACTTTATTTTTCAGATCTACTCCAGTCGTGAACTTGAAGAAACACTCAATAAAATCAGGGAAATCTTGTCAGATGATAAACATGATTGGGATCAAAGAGTTAATGCGGTATATATTTTGAAAGTAGCATTTGTCACATTACTCATAATTTATGTCCAAAAGCTCTGTTTGTCATTAGAAATACTAATAATCCATTTCTTTACTTGTTTTCCCTGTAGCTCAAGAAGGTCCGGTCATTACTTGTTGCTGGAGCTGCACAATACGATGGATTTTTCCAGCATTTGCGGCTGTTGGATGGAGCATTTAAATTGTCAGCTAAAGACCTCAGATCACAAGTGGTTAGAGAAGCATGCATTACAGTAGCGTAAGTACATGCTAAGCAAACTGAAACTAATGTGCCCTGACGTGAGTACATTTGTTTAATATTGATGCCACACTGGAGTATACCAGAAATGTTCTGTATGTCTGTACAGTTAATAAGAAGACTGGTACAACATGAATGAGCAAAGTAGAATAAACCTACAGGACACGTTATACTTCTGTGATGTCCTTTGGTAGTGTGGCAGTTATTCTTTTGCAGATCATTAGTTTCCTGCTATTACAAATGACCAACTAAAGTGTCAACAATAATGTTAATTATAGGTATTCAGACTCCTACAGGAAGTCATTGATTTTACATAATATTATTTATGAGATTGTTCAAAGTGAATTACACGGGTAGACCAAGCAGTGATAATAACCACAATCATAAGTCCTTCACTATTTCTTAGTGTAAAGGTTCAAAATCATGAGCTGATATTCTTGCACTCTCTACAGGTTTTGAAATAATCAGACTTGATATGCTGATTTGCAGAATTGAAAAACATATTCCCATTCCTCTTTCAATTTTATGTTTGCAACTGCTGTGGCAAAAGCAGTATATCAGAAAAGCTGATCCATCAACATTTTCTAAAAATATTGCAGGTACCAGTGTTGTGAAATAGACCAAGCCACATCCAAGAGCCTGTCCCATATTATTATCTGCTGCTCTTGGTGGTTGTAAGCATACACTATATGGTAGAGGAGCATGATCAGAGTGGATGCTAACCGCCATGATTGGCAACAGAGATGTGGACATAGAGATTGTTTCTGTGACTTCCTACACACTATTAGGGTCAGATGCCTAAGATGTTGCATGAGATCTGTGAGCATTGAGAACACCTTTCATTATCTAAAGCAGTGAAGTTACTGTTTCACCAATTTGAATAACAGATCAAATTAGAAATAAGTGGTTTTACTTTTAAATGGGAGTTTGAGGTTCAGATTCTGTGGTCTTCTTTGGACTTGGAAGGCTTTTCTGGGAGCAAACAGGAAGACCATCATTTGCACAATGTGCTTGTGAACTCCCAGCCACATTTGGCTTATTCACATTGGAAATAGAGTGCTAGAAAAAAAAATGGAAGTTGGTGTGATCCAACAATTCATATAAGATTATGTCAAATGCTGGGTTATAGAAAATACATATAAAGTACTTGTAATATGCACTGTTGGAAAACATTTCTCTTTACATGATCAGAGTTGCCATCTTGTGATGCCTGATTCATTTTGATAACTAACTTTATTTCTTTACAGCCATCTTTCAACAGTTCTAGGAAATAAGTTTGATCACGGCGCAGAAGCCATTGTGCCTATCCTGTTTAATCTGGTCCCTAATAGCGCCAAAGTTATGGCTACTTCTGGGTGTGCAGCCATTAGATTTATTATTCGAGTAAGTAGATTTCAGAGTTATTGTACAGATCCACATCTATATTATGCATGTTAATATATAGCCACAGCCATGCTAAGCTATATTTTTGTGTATGAACTAAGCACTATTTTGTTTTATATTTTAAGTATGTATGGCAGTAGGAATGCTTTCATTACTCTGAAAAATGCAAATGACAAACTACTGTAAAACATGGAAGGCCTAACAATAACTTGTATGTAAGCACAAAATGCTTCAGTGCAACTGGATTTGAAAAATGTGTTACCTTATTTCTCGTTTATCCTATCTTTCCTAGGACTGGAAACAGTAAATCTAAAAATAAAATGTGTGTGTGTGTGTGTGTGTGTGTGTGTGTGAGAGAGAGAGAGAGAGAGAGAGAGAGAGAGAGAGAGAGAGAGAGAGAGAGAGAAAGGTTATAAAAATGCTAAATGTTAGAACAATTGTAATTATTATACATCTACATACTACCACATTTTATGAGTGGCTTCTGGTAGATTTTATAAAACACTTTTTTTTGTCTTTTCAGCATACCCATGTTCCCAGACTCATACCTTTAATAACCAGCAACTGTACCTCAAAATCTGTTGCAGTCAGAAGGTAAGTATTTTATGAGCCTTGGACTTTTAGTGCTACACACTGTGTAGCTGGGTAAGTGGGTTGTGGTGAAATGTGAACTCTTCCACTATGAGGACCTCACTTCCTGATAAAGGGCTTGTTTTGATTTTATGAGGGTGGGAGACTGAAGCGCCTCATTGACTTGGAATGGGTCTGCGGATCTGGCTAGGTCAGGTCGGGCGTGGGGCTGTGCGCAGGGTTGCACGGCATTCTTTCCTGTTGTGAAACAGTGGCATGGAAATAGCATTTTCATGCATAAATGAGGCAACAATTTCTCCCCTTTTGCTCTACCTAGGATTTATTTAAGAGGTTTGACATCTAGGAGTTCTCTGTCCATCTTCTGTGAACTGTATCTTTGCCACGTGTAGATTTGATAGCTGGAAGCATCAAATGATAAGATGAAATTTTTCATCTTTCCCACTGAGTGGGGGTTTTTTTTGTTTTTGTTTTGCATTTTTGTTACCTTGTTGTCATAACTAGCATTATGTTTTGGTTAGGGAAGTAATCACTGAGGTTTGGGCACTGTAAAATAACCCGTAAAAGACCCAAGGGCTGTAGTCACCCAAAAACATCCTCCAACTGCCACACCCCCAGGGAGTTGGGCAGTACATAGACATGCACCTCCACTGATTCTCTGTCAGTTACCATTTGCCACTCCCAGGTTTTCTAGCAGTTGACCTGGCATGGTACATGTTGCCTTGCAGTAATTAAACTGACAGATAAGGGGCTACACCGTTGCCTTCATACATCAAACCTTATTTATGATTCAAAAAACTGAAGCCTCCTACTCCACCCAGCTCAGTGATAGCTCTCTTTCCCCACATGTCCATTCGCATTGCAGTCTATGCATTTTAGAACTAGACACAGCAGGTGCCCCCAACAATTTGATCTTAATGGCACTTATAATTAGGTGTTAATATATTGACCAGAGATATGCCCAGCCAGTTGGCAATAATTATAATAATCCTGTTATCTCAACTTTCTTATTTCTACTTTTCATTTCTTATTTCTACTTATTTCTTTCATTTACATGCATATCCCAATATATTAATTAGAAACATAGGCTTGAATCCCTATTTAGTCAGAGGAGATTCACTGAAATTAATAGGGTTTAAAGGTAGTACCTGCTTGAGTAATTTCTGAAAATTGATTTCATTGGGTCTGCCCTAAGTGTAACTGAATACCTGACTCATAATAAATATGCATTTTAAAATGATTAGCTTGGTTCCAAAAAACTGCATAAATAGTGCCATATGTTGAAGAATTCTATAAGTTTGTATTTTTCAAACAGCCCCTCCATACCAGTTATGGCAAGCTGCCTTTGAAAGTAAGGTGGGGTGGGTAAGCAATTTGTGACATGGCATAGGTGAGTATTCAAAGGAAAATGTCTGTGATGTGCTTGAAGTACCTCTTTGGAACTTATGCAGGTGTAAAGTTGATGTCAGTACTTGTCTATTCCAGGCGCTCTTTTGAATTTCTAGACCTGTTGTTGCAAGAGTGGCAAACTCATTCATTGGAAAGGTATGATTTACATCTATATTTACAGTACAGAGCAACAATTCATTAATAATGATAGGGGGTTTACTTTAATTCAACAAATAATATTGTATTTTTTTAAATACTTGGAGCTTACTTTAGCCCCACTTGTAGGCCTAACTATGGTAAAGCTAGTAGTTATTTTAAGTCTATTTATTGATTGATTGATTGATTGATTGATTGATTGAAACTGTACAGCAGCAAATGCATTCAGGGCTTATGGTTACCCTTTAGAGTTGACCCTTCCTTATTGTCTTGATGACTCATTGATCTGAACTGGAAGCCTTCCAGACAAGAAGGATGAGTTGCAATCTTCCCCATAATGGAGAATTTGTGGTGTCAGAAATACTTCATCTTCCCCTTGGAATATGGGAGGGATTGTGTCTGAGGTTGGAATTCTGGTAGTAAATTTTGATCTTGACTATTAACATTTGTTTATTTAGGATGAAAGGAAGTCCTCTGGGGATAAAAGGAATTAAAAGTATATATAAGTTGCTTTCATTTGTCACTCCTTTGGGAGACTGACATTGATCTATTTGTTCTCTTTTAGTATGTCCTTAAATGCATCATCTCCGCAGAAGTTGGCTTACTTTAAAGGAAATTATCCCTGGTTTGATATGTAGGAATATATCTAGTGCTTAGGACAAATATTAACAACAAATTGGAGGTCAGAGTTGGAAGAAAGGCCAGTTCTTATTGCTAAGAACTGAATGCTGCCCAATACAGTATCTATATTAGAAGCTCTCAAATTTTAGCAGACCCCTGCATGTTTTGGTTGAATGAACTGGGAACACTAAGGAAGCTACAGAACTGAAACCGCTTTTTGCTGCAGTGCATATTTCTCTGTGTTTTACTGCTGTGCAAAGTAACTGTGTGCTCAAGGTTTTGCTGGGCTGGGGAAGACTGATGCCTCTGGCTTTGCTCCTTTTTATGTGGGCTTTTTCTGGGAGTGCTTCTTTTTTGTTACCAGAAGCAACGCTTCTTGTTGAAAGAAAGAAGCGGCAAAAGTAGAATTGTATAAAGAAAAAGAAAAGAAAAATATGCTCAGAAAGAGACAATGAAGTAAGTGATGAGGACAGGGAAAATAAAATTTCAGGGGGAAAAAAGATCTGTGTCTGGCTCCTGAGTAAAACAGGGAAGGAACTGAGTAAGGGCTTACTGCAGGAAGCACAGAAAAGCTAGTCACATATTGTCCTGTCTTTTGAATAAGGAGTATGAGATAAAGTCAGCTCTGGATACTTGCCACACCAGTGGACAATGTCATTGTTTGTTGTTAATGTCACTGTAAGGTTATCTTTCTAAGTGGGCAATTTTATAACAGCAGTACAGGTATGATGAGTAAGAGCCATATTTAAATGCAATCCACTGACGTTTTACATAGAGACAAATAATGCCAGATTATTAATGAGAATCCTGATGATTGATTAAAGAAGTAGCTAGAAATGCTTTCACTCCCTTAGCAGAAAGTACAGCAATCTGAACTTAATCTGTACAGCTAACATTAGTTAGTACCACAATGTAATTACATTAAGTATTTGAAGAATCCTAAAGCCAGCCAGAGCCTGGCTGAGAAACAGCATGGTATACAGAAGTGCTGCTGTGCTGATGGGATGGCAGTTTTTGCTTCAGAGGCATAGATATATCAGCATGTTCCCAGCAGGAGTAAAGCCCAAAAAAAGAGGATTCTCTGGGTGTCTCAGAGATGGCATTTGATCTAAGACACCTTCGTTCCCTCGACTCAGCCAAGGATCAGGCCCACAGGCTCACTATTTTCTTTTCCACTTATGTCAATAGGAAATAAAAACATGGAGGTGTAGGGAGGTAGTAGACACCAACCCTCTCTTCCACCCTGGTTGCAGCCTGCCAGGCTCAGCACACATTGGTTCCTCTGCCAAAGGATCTCCTATCACCACTTTAGATTTGCTCTGTCGTGCATAAAATGAATACTTCTGTTAAGAAAGCAGATTATAAATCAAAAGCACAAAAGACTGGATCACAACCTCTACATGCCTGCCTTTGAAGAGACCCCTATACAGTCTATAACCAAGAATAAATCTCTGTATAATTCAGTAGAATTGCAACCCTTCTTCCAAATTAAAAATAATTCACTCAGAGTTAGTTTTACAAATGCTATTTGACTTGAAGTGAAGGGCAAATTTTCAATAGTTGACTCTCATAAAAAATAAAAATGGGATATGTTTATATACTGAGACAATAGTTTTTATCTTGGTTCTAAATCACCATAATGTTTTTTAAGGGTTCATACCAGTCATCAAGACTACAAAAGCTTCAGCTTTTGGGCAGTATAGAAATAAAATGAACTTTGGTTTGTTCCCCACTGGAAAACCAGACACATTTCTCAATCCCAAACTCTTCTATTGAGCTGCTAAAATTGATAGTGTAATTTATTGCAATAGTATGACTTTATTATAAGTGATATCAGTGATTTCTGTCATGGACTATCTATGCATTTTCCACAAGAACAGGCCTATGCAAAGGTTTCAGAAATCTTGGGTATTCGTCTTTGTTTCTTTCCATTCTAAACTGTATCAAACAAAACCTGGATGTGCACGGAATTTTCTGTTCAGTGCACCACTACTTTCAGACAATCGTTGAACTTTTTCATCTTGTTTCATCTCACCACTGTGGAGAGGAAAAAATATTTACTTGAATCATAACTTGGTTGATCAAGGCTTCTTTTGCCCTATCATCATTGTTTCATCACATTTAGATATCCAGCTTTTTTTCCTCTTGTGCAGCTTAGATGGTTTCATTTTATCCTTATAACAGCAGTCCTGTGGAGTAAGTCAGACTGAAGGTGAGTGACTGGCCCAAAGTCACCCAGTGAACTTCATGTTTGTGTGAGGGCTAGAATCTGGATCTCCCAGCTCCCCGGTTAAGCGCTATAACCAACTCCCTTTCTTCTTCGGCAAGGAACCCAAAGCAGTTTAGCATGTGAAACATGGCACACTCCTGTCTCAACATCATGGCATGTTCCACTAGGACTACAGCTCCCCCACCCCCAACCCTGTGAGCAAACACCATAATCTGAAAGATCTGCTGGGTTGCCATATGATCTTGGCAAATATATTCATAAGACATTGTAAGCTAGATATCTAAGCTAAGGCAGCTTTTGTGAGGGAAGTCTTGAAAAATATAGGTCCTGTTTTCATGTAGCAGGCACTAGTGACTTAACTCACAGATTGCTAATATCCAGTTGAAGTGAGCAAGAACACTGCCTGCAGTGCCCTTGTTGTTTTCAGCTTCACTTTACAACATACAGCCATCCCATACATAGGTCATTAGTTTAAGTCTTGGCACTCTGGATTGTTTAGGGGCTAAACAGTCCTAAAATAACCTAACAACAAACTGTAGAATAACTCTGACTTAACTAACCACTAAATCAGGCCTGGTTATGACACAGAGATTGCTTTGATGATTATTGTGAATGGAAACTAGACTGTGAAGCATTGTTCAAGAGTAGCTTGAGTCCTTTTGATGGGTAATTTCAGAAAGTGGTGCCTCTTCATTGCCACAGTCATTGACCTGCTGTGTCTTTCAGTGTTTCATTTTATTCCCAAACTAATTTACATATGAATGGCAACACTGGGAAAGAATTCTTGAGTTTGGAGGTTTGAGGCTACCTATATGAAATTGTTCAGAAATATCAACTGGTTCAGAACATTGCTACCAGGGCCAGTTACAGTGCGCATGTGACTTCCTTCCTCGAATAGCTTCATTAGGTGCTAGTTTGTTCCTTGGTAAAATTCCAAGTGCAGGTTATAGCCAGTAAAACTTGGAATTAGGTTATCTAATAGCATCAGTTTTCAAAAAGGGTAGTAGAAGGGACATGGGGAATTACAGGCGAGTTAGCCTTACTTCCATTGTAGGAAAAACAATGGAAAGGCCCATAACAGAGAGAAATCTAGTGATGCTAGATAGAGAAAGGAGGCTGGCAGCCACACAACACGGCTTCCACAAAAACAGGTCCTGCCAGACAAACCTTGTGGAATTCTACGACAAGGTTTCGAGATGGCTTGATGGAGGGGATGCAGTGGATGTGGTTTACCTGGATTTCAGCAAGGCCTTTGACAAGTGTCCCATGATTTGGTGGAGAAACTGAGGAGTTTTGGGATACACCAGAGCACTGTCTGATGGATTAGGGTATGGTTGACTGACCGAAAGCAGAGGGTCACCATTAGTGGGGAATCATCAGGATGGCGGCCTGTGACAAGCATAGTTCCCCAGGGCTCTGTCCTGGGGCCGATTCTGTTTAATCTTTTCATAAATGACATGGAAGAAGGGGTGAACAGTCTGCTGATCAGATTTGCAGACAATACTAAAACTGGAGCAGTGGCCACAGCTGAGGAGCAGGTACTCCAGATCCAAACAGATCTGGACAGATTATGGAAGTGGGCAGGAGACAACAGGATGGTGTTCAATGTGGATAAATGCGAGGTCTTGCACTTGCGCCATAGGAATAGGTGTCATCAGGTTAGGGGACAAGTGGCTGGAGAGCAGCACTTGTGAAAGGGATCTTGGGGTGCTGGTTGACTGCAGGCTAAACATGAGTTAGCAGTGTGATGCGGTGGTCAAGAGGGTGAACGCCACCCTTGGTTACATAGCCAGAAGTGTGGCTTCTAGATCAAGAGAGGTATTATTGCCACTCTATATGACTCTGGTGCACCCGCAACTGGAGTATTGTCCTCAGTTTTGGGCCCCTCATTACAGGAAGGATATAGCCAGGTTAGAGTGCAGCATAGGGCCACAAGGTTAGCGGCCGGTTTGCAGGGGATGCCATATGAGGCGAGACTGAGGGAACTGGGTCTCTTTAGCCTGGAGAAGAGGAGGCTCAGAGGGGATATGTTGGCAACATACAGGTATGTGAGGGGATGTCACACAGAGGTGGGTAGAGACCTGTTCTCCCCTGGAGAGGAAGGCAGGACATCCAACACAGCAAAGCTTAGGGAACCCAAGGTTCCATTTAGATGCCAGTTAGCACTTCCTGACAGTTAGGACTCCGAGGGTATAGAATGGACTTCCACAGGACATGGTTGAGGCCCCATCGGTGAGGGTGTTCAAAGATAGGTTGGACATGCACATGCTGGGCATGTCATGAGTGGAGCTGGCTGGAGCCGGGGGTCAAACTAGATGGCCCAGGAGGCCCCTTCTGACTCGCTCTGTTTCTATCTTCCCCTGTATGAGCGTGCCTGCATAGGTTTTAAGATGCTTGAGAGAGGTCCTTCTTTTGAGGCTGCCACTTGTAGAGGCCTGCTTGGTGATGAACCAAAGAGGTCTTTCTCAGTTGATGCTTCCAAGCTGTGGAACACTGTGCTGAGGGAGCCTGCTGTTCTCCTGCCAATAGTGCAGATGCTCTTTATAAACGAGGCAAAATACCATCATTGAATTGTGATTGTGGGTCCAAAAGACAAACTATCCAACATATGGTGACAGTGGGCCAAAATAGAGCTTACAAAGAAGAGTTAGTGGTTCCCTGGTTGTGACAAACAAAGCAAAAAATTATATCTGTAGTTCAGATATATGCTTATAATGTTTTGGATCTTATATTTTGTATGCGATATTGTTATGGCTGTGTTTTTTATTGAAGTATGATGTGAATGTGCCATACGATAAATAAATCCTGTCAATAAGAAGAAAAACTTTTAATTCAAGGATGTCTTTGGTGGGCCTGTTGGGTTGAATGCAGTTTTAGTCTGCTGTTGTTGTATCTTTAAATTTATACTTAGAACATATATTTTATTGATTTAATCAAGATGTATTTGTAAGCTGACTTGAGTGCCACTTTTCTTACATAGGAAATAAAAAACCCCAAATGTTTGGGTTCTGACATCACAGTAACAAGCTAGGAATGGAGCTCTCATAGGTTGGTAATTGAAAGTAACAAATGCACTAGTGGTCATTTATTCATTCCTTTTAATGGCTAAGACATGCAAACCAAATTATGGTCTCAGTCATAATACAGCCAGTCAGCTATTCTAGGATGGTATACTGCTTTTCCCATCACATTCTGGATGCCTGCCGCACCAACAAAGAAAAGAATGTTGGTACTTGTTGTGCACGTTTCTTTTGGTTGACATGCAGAAATATCTAGATTCTTCTCGATGCTTAGTAGCTGTTAGATCCACCTAAACCTTCTTCACATAGGACACACAGACATTCAGCACAATTGGTTTGGAAAGCAGCTCACACTTTTTAAAGAGCCTGTCCTCTTTCCTCCTTTATTTAACTTTTTCAGATAACTATGAAATTCATGTCTTCTACCATTAGCTTGTCCTCATTTGGAGCTGAGGAGGAGCTTACTTTAAAGGGCTAGTCTCATGTTTCCCTTCCTCTTGAGCAAGTAGGAGAAGATAAAGCCACACTGGATAGTTCTACACAACAACCAGAAGAAAATTCTACAACCTGTACCAATATTGCAGTCTGGAAGCCAAATTTATCATAAGATAATATGTATATTTTGTATGCACTGCTAGATTCGGTTCTTCTCTTACAGGCATGCAGCTGTCTTGGTTGAAACCATCAAAAAAGGCATTCATGATGCTGATGCTGAGGCAAGAGTAGAGGCAAGAAAGTAAGATTAAAAGATTATTTTGCTATTCTTGAAAGTGTTGATGCTTTTTAAGAGGAGAATAAAAATGTGTATCTTAATGGACCACAATACTTTTCCATTCTGATGTGATTGAGCCTCACAGATTGGGGATGGGTGATTAAACTAATCCTCCCCCCCCCCCCGCCCGTGTGTGTGTTTGTGTGTGATGGTCATGCTGCCCATAATAAATATTAAATGATTTGTTTGCAGGACTTACCTAGGTCTAAGAAATCATTTTCCAGGTGAAGCCGAGGCGCTGTATAATAATCTTGAGCCATCCTATCAAAGAAGTCTCCATACATACTTAAAGAATTCTGGTAGCATCGCATCACTTCCACAATCAGACAGGTCATCCTCCAGCTCTCAGGAAAGCCTCAAGTAAGGGTCATTTTAGAATCCAGATAAAGAAATCTGTATGCAGAGTCATATTTCCAACCATGTACCACTTGCTGAATCAGGAACCATGGTCATAAATCAGATGTAGTTCCTAAGTTTGTTTGGCCAGGCAATGAAAATAAGCTCATTTTTCTGCACTGCTAGTTGCATGCCCTAGAATTACCATAAATACCCTTGCCAGGTACAGTTCATCATGTTGTCAACATCCAGCAGATAGGTTTACAAACTATCCCAGAAGCCATGCCTTTTTCTAGTGTTCCAAAGTTTGTCAAGGGTAAATATGGTATAGTCATGTTGAGGAACTAGCATATGCAAGGCAGGAAGATAAGCTGCAGACAGCTTGTTATAAGCCATCCCGAGACACTAGTAGTGGATGGGGTAGAAAATCTTTTAATTAATTAATACATTTCCTTTTCCATTGAATTTCTGTTAACAGATTGCATACTTGAATACATGTTCTGGCACATCTACCCTTGTATAAATATAATTTATATGCAATTAACTCAGTTTTAATTTAAAGAGGTAGCCATTGTCTGCAGAACATTTACTGTATGTTCATTTTCAATCCAGTAGTAAGATAAATGTATGTAAGACTTGTTATGATCCAAAATATAAGCTTCTAATTTGCTTTAATAACATACTGAAGTAGGAATAAAATACACAAAACATTTGAGCTTTTTCAGTAGTTTAAGAATGTGGAATTGTTGCCATAGCAGCAAAAGAGAGGGGGTTAAGAGAATAACTCAGTATATCACAAAATGTATAATAGGTTGCCTTACTAAAATAACTGCTGTTGCCTTTGTTTTCAGTCGCCCGTTCTCTTCAAAATGGTCGACATCCAGTTCAGCAAGTATGGCTGGCAGAGGTAAATCTTTCCTTGTGGTATGCTAAACTGCCCAATATACTAGTCTAGACTTAGTCTGGAAATTCTTTCTTTCTCTTTTAAAGATCTTATCTGGATTTACTTTGAGTTCTTCACTTATAGGGGTAGTAGGAATTGAACCAAGAAAGGTAGTGTAATACATTTAAATTTAATCACCTTTACTTTCAGTTGCAGGGGGCACCAAGACTGCTCCTAGCCCAGGAACACTGCAGAGGTCTCGCAGTGACATTGATGTTAATGCTGCTGCTGGTGCAAAGGCACGACATGGTATTGGTCAACCAGCAGGAGCTGGCCGTTTAGCAGCAGCTGGTCTACCTCCAGGATCTTATGCTTCACTAGGTGAGGGGACCTTGTTTAATAATACTTAACCTACTACTTAAACTTCCTTTCAGCATCGGAATGCATGTACTTTTTCAGTACCTTTAGTGATATTACTAACCTTTAGTGATATTACTGATGTTGCCCAGTGGAACATTGTCGCATTTGGTTAAGCTTCCTTTTTGTATACTGCTTGATCCAATGTGCTTAGTAAAAAGTTTGGTGGAAAAGATCATTCTGACATGAAGTACATGTAAGCTTCTGTCCTAAGCATATTTACTATGCAGTAAATACACTCAGACTCGGCTGGGAATAAATTCAGAGTAAAAATGCTTACGATTGCACTGGTTTCCTACAACGGAGAGGTGGACTATAGCAACTGTCTCAGTAGTAGCGTGTTATCTGTTTCTCAGGATATGAAGAAATAGGTCTCTTTCAGAAACCATCTCTTTGCAAGCTTAGTGTTATACCTAATGTATGCTCAGAGGTTTCATATTAATATAGGGATATTTTTACTATGAACTGGTACGATTTGAGTATGATATTTTGTGGTGGTCTCAGCAGTCTTTTGTTATTCAAGATCTCACTCTAATGATTTGAACTTGTTAGTGGTCAGACGTTCCTATTTATGATGACAGTGATGCAATTTGTAAAAGGGATAAAAGCTTTCACTTATTTATGTGCTTCTCTTAGATGCAGTTAAGTCTTTGCATAAGAACTAGTTTCAGAGCTTCATCCCTTCTAGTCATAGTAATGGTTGTAGAAGGAAGAGTCATAGCAGATTAAGAACATCTGGGATTCTAATGTGTAAGAAACTGTTCAAAATCAGAATGATTATGCCTTGGTAACGAGAAGTGTTTTGTTGTTCTACTAAATAAATAAGGGAAATACTTTTCCATATCAGTTGGCTTCTTCCGTTGAAAACAAGCATTTCTCAGCATTGTGTTCGGAAAGCTATGGCAGCAAATACAGCAAAAAATTCAAAATTAGCAGTTCTATGCAAGAGAAAGGGAAAGAAAGAGATTTTATGTTCTGTTGATACTCCCATAATAGAGCTTTGTTAGTTGCTCCTGGGCAGGCACCTAAATAGCTTTCTTGGTAACGTTCCCTATGGTCATAGGAGTAACCACTGCTGTATTGGACAGAATGACCTTAATCGGACAATTATTATAGTCCAGTGTGGCTTATTAGCCACAGCAGTTTGCAGTGTCCAAGGACTCCAAGTTGTAAGTCTAAGTCCTGCAACTGTAGCCTCTCGCATTGTTTAAATTCATTAAGGGTGCCTTCTTGAGTGATTTTATTTATTTATTTATTTATTTATTTGGAACATTTATATGCCACCCCATTAGCAAAAGCCTTGGGGCGGCTTCCAAAACAAATAAACAACTATACAATTACATTAAAAATCAGGAGACATCCCAGCACAGGTATAAAATCAATAATTACATTTAACAATTAAAATAACGTTTAAATAAAAAGGTCTTGGCCTGGCGCCGAAAAACAAATAACGACAGCGCCAGGCAGACCTCTCTGGGGAGCGCATTTCATAGGTGGGGCACTACCACAGAGAAGGCCCTCCTCCGGGTACTCACCCTCCTAATATCTTTCACGGAGGGTTCCTGGAGAAGGGCCTCTACCACCGATCTCAAGGGGTGGGAGGGCAGATATGGACGCAAGTGCTCCTTTAGATAACCAGGACCCAAGCCATTAAGGGCTTTATAGGTGATAACCAACACCTTGAATTGGGCCCGGACTTCAGTGGGGAGCCAGTGAAGCTGACGGAGGACTGGGGTTATATGAGAACAACAACCTGGCAGCTTTGTTTTGCACCAATTGAAGTATCCGGACTGTCTTCAAGGGCAGCCCCACGTAGAGCGCGTTACAGAAGTCTAATTTACAAAGCACCAACAACAAACCATGGAGTGGGTTTTTTAAATGCTCCAACAAGCCACCCTTGCCAAGTTCAGACAGTACAAGCCATACCTGGTGAGGGTAATTAAGCAGATCAGCTAGCATATAAGTGTCATATGTAAGGATGTTAACAAGCCATTCTGAGCATACAAACCGGACCACTGTGTTGCTTTTCAGGAAATACCCATCCTTAACTTGGCTGCCAGAGTCCAAGTGCAACTCAAAGATAAAATCAACATGTACTCAAAGCCATTTTGTTTCTCAGTTCTATACCTCAAATCTGTACCCCAAATCACTATTTGTACTTGGCTGTGGCCGGTTTACTTTGAGTTTTTAGTTAAAACTAAAACAAACAGAAATCCTAAAATTGTGTAGGCCTGAACCTTGCCCACCACTGTTCATTTGTTAGTAGGAAGTGACAAATCCAGTGCTAATCTGCTTTGATGTGTTTTCTTAAGAATTATTACAAAAGAAAGAATTTTAAAGATTTCCTTGTTAATTGATTTAGGTTACTTCTGGTTCTTCACCTTTCTACAGTGGACAGTCTCTGCCCTGTGTACATTTCACTGTTGTCTTTCTTTGGGGGGCGGGGGTTGAAGTTGTTGATTGGATATGGTATGTTGCTTTTATGTGTATTCCACTCTCATGCTATTTCTACCCACTTTATATGGTCAGTTGCTTGACAACGAAAAACATGGAAGATATGAAATAGTATGCTTAGGGAATTTTCACCAAATTTTGTTTTAAAATTATAAATTTATTTTAATTGAGTTTAGTGGAATGTACTAGTCTCGTACTCTTGGTGATAGCCAAGAAATGATGTTATTTGGTCTTGTATTCTGGTGTAAGAAAGGAATTAGTGTTAATTTCTCTACCTGTAACTTAATCATTTTTTTTACTCTGGTGTCTTCTTTACTGTGATGGGACTTTCTTTAAAATATCATAAGTTTAAAAAAATGGTTTATTTTTTACTACTCATTAAATTCTAGCAGAGTCCACTTTAGTCTCATTGAAATATAAGGTACACTTGAGTCATAACTAACTTAAGTTCCATTGATATTATTGGGACTAAAGTATAAATACTTTGGGTCTGAATGAAATCCTGTAAATGTAGGTATAGATGTTTGGTACTAAGTGCAAATTATTTGCTTTCATGTGGTCTGTACTGTGACAGAGAACACTAATAAATTTCATATTCTAATAAAATTGGTGCTGGTGGTGTATTCTGAGCTTGCAACTTCTAATATGAGAATTGCTGAAGTTAGTGTATGCATGAATTCAATGTACAAGTGTCTGCAGAATACACATATTAATGTGGTTTTCTTAATGAATGTTTTGTGGCTCTCTTGTTGACACTGTTTGTCTAATGCACTAAGTTTTCCCTGTTTCCTTGCCTGCTCTTGCAACAAAGAGGATACTTCTGACAAGATAGATGGTAAGACCTTATTTTCTCTCTCATTTTTAAAACTACTAATCTTGTGATTTCTATTTACTTAACTTTTGTAATGTTCATACAGTATGTGTATCAGCTTGTGACTAATTATATACGTTTTTGCTAACCTTTGCATGTTAATAGGAAAGTCTGAAGCCTGACTGTTCACTTCTAACACAACATCTATCAAGATGCCTAGTCCTGTGAAGTTTTGAAGGACGGCATTGTATTACTTTAGCAACTGACAATCGAATGAACAATGAATTGTCATTTTCTAGACTGTTTCACTAGAGTAGCAGGGAAACCAAACTTAAGTTTGCAGTCTTTTGCCTTCTCTAACTGGCAGTCCTATTTACTTTGCATTTATAGGTAGCAGTTTTAGGGAGCAGCATCAGTTTGCATATGTTCACCTGTGAGTCGTCTTCAAGTTTGTTCTGTGTCAGAGGCCACTTTCTAGGGCAGGGATTTAGCAAGGGTCAACTTAAATGGCTCCTTAAATTTTCATATGGATCCTGAGAGTATTAACAAGTTGTCATGAGAGATTTAATTTCTTTCTTGGTTTATTGCATTCTCTTCTTTAAGTGTCTTTTGGAGTGAAATCATTAAGTTTTGTTAAGCAAACTTTTTAGCAATTTCAATATAGACTATTGAACATCTTCTAGAGAAACAACATTTGACCACTTTTCCATTTTATATTGCTTTTGTGTTTTTAAAAATGCAAGTCTGTACTAGTATATCACAGAATGCTCAGTGCAAGAATGAAGTGCATTCAAGCTTATAGGTGTTTATTTTTCAGTCTGGTATTCATAGTTATGCTTAAAACAAAATTTTGGTCAACTTATTAACAGATGCAAATTGCAATAAATTAAAAAAGAAATCATATATGCAGCCTACACAGATCTATTGTCCAAATGTCAAATATATTCTGATTTCTTTAAATTTAACGTATTGTGGGATACATACTATTTTCTCTACACTTTGTTTTTTCCCCAGTTTCTGCTGCCAAGGAGGGGGGTTAACTTTTCATGCATTTAAAATGTTTCCACAATTATATTTACATGGCTCTTTATTTTATCAGTTTGTATTGTGAATGCATTCAGTGGGATTGGTTACAGTTCATGTGCATGCTAGGCGTGATGACTTGTTACTGTTGTCTTGCCAAATTAAGATGATGAAACTGTTAAACTGTATGTACAAATATAAAATAACTAGCATAAAAACCAAGAGGCTTTCTACATGTAGCTCTCAGTTCTTGTAACTGCATCATACAATAGCTTGTAGTTGAAACCTAAAATATCTGGAGTGTAGATCCTAAACTTGCTATAATTACAGGGATGGTCTTAGAGACATTACCTTTGTCATTCTCAGTTTTTTTATTTTGTAATCTGGAAATAGAAATGGTTTGCAATCTTCCATGGCAATTGCAGTGTTTCTGTACACCCAGGTTTACACTACCTCTCTCATATAACAGTAATAGCAATAACAGCAGTATAACAGGATCCAAGATTCTAGTCTTTCAACCCCAGTTGTGTACTCTTGCTAGCACATTTTCCTTTTCTAATCTATTATTGTTCAACAGGAGATAACACTTCCCACTTTAATACAATCGCAATTGCCTCTTCCTGTAAAACATTTCATAAACCGAATTTGACACTTGTGAAAGTATGGTGTTAATTTCAAAGTCCACTGCCTGTCTCTGAGTTCAGTATTGTTATGCCTTACTGACAACTGTACTCCATTTACTATAGGCTATATTTGTTTATCTCGCAATAACGTGTCACCTGCTAATTTGAAAGCTAAAAGGAGGCCTTCTTCGCCCCTTCTCTGAATAAGGAACAATTGAAGGTCACAAGCTGAATTAAACTGTAAATACAGTTACCCATCTATTAATAACCGGCTAGGATATAGTTACCCAAACCCCTCTAGCTCTGAATGCCCCTGATTTAGCTAAATGCCTAACTGAATTCTCAATACCAGATGCATGTAACTGTCAGGCTGTCCAATGCATTTTTCCTTAGCATTCATGCCCATGCATCCACTTGTATATGTACCAGAAACAAGATACATCCATAATATCAATACATCAAAGTACATGTAAGAGAGAACATATAAAATGTGTGAAATAAAAGATGACCACCCATTTTCTATCATAAATAGCACCTTAAAAAGCATTATTAAGAAATACCTTGCAAAGGTCTGAGAATTTCTCATGTCTATATATAATAGCATAAAACATTATCAAATTTCTGAAAACATTGTGTAATATACTGTCTTTAATTTTAATTATAAATGTTATAATAAACCCAGTCAATGCCTAAGTAATTTACCTTAAGTGCCCTTGTTGGCCTTATTACTGTCATTGTAACAAATTCTGTAAAACAATTCTGTGATACACAAATGAATAGATGTATAGGATTTCCAGTACTGAGCTGCCAACATCTTGTCCACTTAATAAATTTCATTGTTTCCAAGTACATTCCAGGTACTAGTTTATTGAGATAATTTACCAGTACATTTATTCAATTCATAGGGATATTATAGCCATAATTGCTTTGTCAGTTTTTAGATTTTTGTCTGTATACATTCTTTTCATTTCATTCATTACAATTCTGTACTGCTTAGTAACCAAAGCTTTCTGGGCAGTTAAGATTGAAACAGGGAAGAAAAGCTATAGTATGTTCATAATTCATTTATCTCAAAGGTTATACTGAAATTTTATGTCCAAGGCATGCATATGTTTTCCTAAGAACATGGACCAGTTTCAAAGTGTGCTGTGGATTGAGTTGTCTGGATTTAGCTGATAGTATCTTTGCATTTCTGTATGATATCCCAAATCTGTGGTTAAAAAAGTTCTAGCAGTATTTATTGGTAGATGTATGTAACATTGCATTCCACACCTGAAAATAAAGGAAACAGCTACTGATTTTACAGAGTAATTTTAGTGAAAAGTACAATGGATGTGAATTCATTCTTGTATAATATGCTAAGATAGTGCAGAGAAGGCTGGAACTTGGGGCAAAAAACCTAGGACCCCATGACCACCAGAACCCCCATGGCTAGCTTGGGGGAGAATGAGGGACAGAACAGCAGCAAACCGGTCCAGCATCAGTACTTGCCCCATCATGGGCATGTCTAGATGCTACTCAGTGCAGCACCCGCTCTTATTTTTTAAAATATGCTGTATTTGGGTCTGGCTGGCTCAGCATGTGCAGAGTGACATACTGATTCTATTTATGCCTCTATACTATCCTTTTATACAACAAAATTGTGATTATACTCAAGTAGATGTTTATCAGGGCAGCAGAAGCAAACTCTTATTTTGTTGCTATAGTCATTCTGATGCCATGATATAAATGTTTTAAATTGTGACATTGCACATGTTATCTATTTTTTAAAAATCAGACTTGGTAGAACTTTATTTTTTTAATTTAATTTATTTTATTTTGGCACTTTAACATATCAGGATTGTAGAAGCAATTGTAAAACCTGGAATAGCAATAGAGGAGGAGAGCAGGGAAAAGAAATTAAAACTGTGTGGTTCAAAAGTAATACATGTGGCTGTCAAAAAGCATTACACACACAGTAGACATCAAGTCCAGGATCTAAAAGTACATGGCTACACTGCTTAATATAATTTCTTATTGTATGTACTTGGGAAGCCAAACAGTGATTGCTTTCCTGATACAGAAACTATATATTATGCTTGGAATGTCATTGTTTTAATATTTTTTCCTATTTAGGAACAACTTCTGAAGATGGTAAGAGAAAGAATCTTATGCTAAAAAGCAAACACTTCCATCTTAATACTTCCATTTTCATAAGCTATAGTCTTGTACGAAGTGTTCAGTCCATTATGTGACTTTCAGGATTAATTTATTATTTGGCTTACCTATTTTTTTCACTGCTGCAATATGTATTTATTTGCAAAATCTTTCATGCTGCAATATTGCTTTGCAAAAAGTCTTTGCTTTTTTCCAAGTAATCATGTGCAATAAAATATATTTATTCAAATTTTATTTTAGTTGCCTAAACTCGTTCACTTTACATTGTTTTTGTTAAATGTTTTCAGTAGAAATTTCCACATGCTAAACAGACATTGTCATATTTTTGGAAGCAGGTGCTACTGTTTACTGGGTGCTAGACATTCCTTTTTCCATTCAAAGATTGCGGTCTAGCACAGTTAGGCAACTGACCATTCAAATATTGGTCAAATGTTGTCAAATAAATGGTCTTGTGTGATTAGCCAAGCCGCTTCTAATGAGCTTTATGTGGTGGTGCGTTTCAACCTGTATCTACCTGCGACTTGATCAGCGTACTGCCCATTCTGCAGTGACATCTGCCACTTCCCTGCTTCTGATCTTCTTTGGAGATGCCTGTAGTTATAGCAGGTAGCACTGAGAAAGCTGTGCTGTGATGCTAGCTTTGCCTCTAAATGCAGCAGGCTAGAGGACAACATGTCCTCACACTTGGTTTTGCTAAAAAAAAGTAATGAAAGGACAATTTCCCATCTGTACCAGAGTTATAGCTGGTATATGAGGCTATAGTTCCCATAAGTCCTACCTGTTCTTGCCAATGGTTAAGGATAGTGGGAGCTGGAGGGGTTTAGGTTGCCTGCATTATCTGATCTACACAGTGCCATTCTTGGAATGTTTGATAATATTTGACCACTCTGTTGACCAGCATAGCAGCCCTGTAATTAACAATAATTAGAATACTTGCAGCTTCAGATAATAGAACAGTTTGCCTTGTTCTTTTCTTTTTATTGTAGAAGAAGCTGGATATTGTCTTTATGGTTTTTAAGCCTCATAACAAAATGGTGGCACTCTGTCTTCCTGCTCTTTGCAGGTCAAAATCTATGCATTTACAATCTCTTTTCATCCCAATAAGTAGCTGGAAAAATACTATCATTGCATATGTAAGATGGTGTTAGCTTTAACAAAACCTATTTCTGCATAATAAACTTACATTGATAACAGTACTAATAACTAAATAACTTTTTATTACTGGCTCTCATCTCATAGGCTCTCTGTGGACTTTCCTCTCTATTTGGCTGAATAATACCTCATGTAGGAAATCTAAGGAGTATGAGAATTGTATTTAACTAGATGGTGTAACAAACTGCTTTCCCTTAGGTCTATATTTTAATGTGCAATAAAATTTAAGAATAAAGTGTTAATCTTAAGTTCAGTATTATTTCTGAACCAGATATTTTTTAAAAAGATATGCAGGGAATCTTGAAGTTTGCGTGTGTTTCTGTCCCCTGTAGGAACACGTTTCACAATGTGAGATAACTCATGAACAAATGGATATAGAAAGTTCATTTGATGGCAAAATTTAGGGTTTTCTTAATGAAGTTACTGTTACTGCCTCTGTTGTCTAGTCAGTAGAATGGCACATGTGGAGCAGGAGAACCCAAATTCAGATCTCTGCTGTGCGTTAGAGTTCACTGGGTGCGCTTCAGCCAATCACCATTTCTTAGACCAATGTACATCAACAGATTATTGTGAAGAAGACATACAGGTTCCTTAGGAGAAAAAGTTGGAATAAAAATGAAGCAGATATTTAATAACATTAAATACAATGTGGACTAATTCAAACAATTGCTTACATTCCAATAATAGCCGTAGTTGACAGGTAAATCTAAATAAATCATTAAACTTGATAAAATTTTTGCTCGTGTACATAGTAATCTAAGGTCTTTGAAAACCCCATCTTCTCAGTTGCTTTCCACGAGGAGGGTTCCATCACTGAAAAGGCCTGTGCGCTCTCTCATTCATTCTCAGTTCTGAGCCTTGTCTTATTTAGTAAAAGCACTTAAAAGAGGGTATTGGGACAGTGAGCTTACTGTTCAGGTGGTTAAATATGGGAGAAGATGCCTCTTTTTTACTAACTGAAGTTTCTGAACAATTTGCAAAGGCAGTTGCAAAATTTTAACCATTTTGATAATATAAAGAGGAGGTTATCAGAACATGAATACTGTAATAAAGTTCTTATAATAATTACACAGTGCCTCTATATATATTCAGTCAAGAAAGAGCTCTTGCAAAGCTGTCTCTGGGATTTCCTAGGTGGCAAACCCCTGGCACTAACCACCAATCATTTGATAGTTCTGGGCTTTTCTGCCATTTTCCTCTCCATTCTAGAAAGTTGGAGTACCTCCAGCTTAATATTCACAAATTTGGTGGCACTTTTGGATTTTGTCTTCACCCCCACTGGAATGTAGCGCCCCCCCCCCCCCGGCTTCTCCAAATGGAATTTCACCCTTGGGATGAAAGAGATTGAACAACCCTAAAACAAAGGCATAGCTGGTTTAGCAAGCCTATCTGCTGCTATGACTAATAACATAGTTCTGCATATCTTGATTTTAAAAAATCCTAAATATTGCCACCAAAATTAGCTTTTTACATGGATTTTTTCATAAGTTATCACATTTCCGTTCAAAGGCAAGACATCTTGGAAAATGGCAACCACACTATGCATACACCAGAATGTCCATATCTTCCCAGGTTACATGAGTTCCTACATGGGCCTGCCGTATGTACAAACTTCAACATTATCTGAATGTTCTCTGCACATCTCTTTTTTAATGGGTGGTCTATGGCAGGTCCTGGACTATCATGGATCAATTGTGTTTTGGGAATGGAAATGAAGATTCCAGAAAAAATATCTTGCCTCTAATTCACACTACTAAACAGATCACTGCAATGAAAACTTTCTGGATCGTATAAGAATGGTTTTAATTTTTAGTTCTTGGAAATAAGGAGATACATATTCAAATTAAGCAGAGGATAGGAAGTAGTTGTTTTGCTCAGTAGATTTACTGATACAATGTTTTCCTGTTTCTCCTTACTAAATAAAAATTGCCCTTACCAAAACACAACAAAAAAAGGAAGTGTGACACTCACCCATATTGCAACTGTGATGGTAAATTATTATATTTGACTTGAGGTTTCTCCTTTTGTTTAGCAGTCTTCAGTATCTGGGAGAATTAAAAAAAAATGGGGTTGGATCCAAATTTTGAATTACTATAAGTGGAGTTCCTCACCATTTTCTTTCTATGTCATTCCCTCCAGTGTCCTGAAAATGGAACACAGAGAGTCAGGAAACATTACTGAATGAAGTGAGATAGCAAGGGGAAAGGATCTGAAAAAATCAATGGAAGGAAGCTTCTCATGGAAGATTCCTTTCTCTCACATAGATACTGGATCCAGCCCATGATATTTAAACCAGAAAGAAAAGAAGACAAGGAATGGAAAAACCCTGTTATCTTCATTAACTTAATATTCTAGACCTATAATTAGCTCACTGTGAGGGCTAATGGCTTGCCAGAATCATTATTCAAACTGTACTTTTAAAAACGGATATATGCTAGTGGGTGGTCTTGCAAAATGTTGCACTTAGTGCAATTCCCTTTTAAAATTAGTACTTCATGGTCTATGTGCATCACACACATGGGCTCTGTGCCTGCTCGGAACCTCATTTAAGAAGCTTCTATGGCGGAGGAATTTTGGTAGGAACCTTAGCTACCATCTTATTCTGTATGTTTCTAGTGGGTTCACACCTCAGCTCCTCTCAGTCTGTCATTGTGTTTGTCTCATGAGGAACTTCTTGCATGTCTGTGGCCATTATTCAGCTGAAGAATTGTATTCTTTCTCTTACTTGTATTATTTTTTCTTCTTTTACTTTGTTTCATTTTTCTTTTTTTCTTACTGCAGTTTTCTGATTGTGTGATCACCTAGAAATTAGGGCTGCAAAATCCCTGTTCCCAGTGAGTAAGCTCACTGCAACAGAACGGCATTCTCTTTGTTTATTCTGTCCAGGAGAGAGACGCATCAACTCTTACCCAGGCATTTTCAAAGCAGGTGCCTAGGAATTGTTTGGATCATTTGGAAGTCGGCTCTAGAAGCAGTTGAAATGCCTAAGAAAACCACTGCCCTGCTGAGGCATTCTTTGCTGCCTCCTGCTTCCGCCTCAATTGCAATGTCTGCCGAGACTGTGTCAACACCTGGGCAAGTTCTAAGCACAGGCCTTGATGCTCCCACCCGGGATGGATTGTTGGTGGCTAAGAAATTGTCTAAGAAAGCTTGGAGCAGGAAATTGGATTCACAGAAGCAGGAGGAGGATTCAGCATGACATCATAACTGGCTGTACTGGCACTTCTCCTGCTCCTGCCACAGAATTTGCTGGTGTTGAAATGGATACTGAGTATTGAGCTGGTACTATTTTGGAAGCTGAGATTTAGGACTTCTGTCTTCCAAGACACCCTGTCCAGCAGGCACACACAGTGCCTGAATCTATAAGACAACTTTCACCACAGCAGAGATTTTCAGAACACTTCTGGGATGAAAGACCAAGTCCCCTACACACTTGATGGAACTGCTCCCAATCCCCATAATACTCCAGTTGCTGTGTTCCGGATGGTCACTTCCCCCCAGAAGGTTATTTCATTGGGGTGCCTGGCAGTTCCCAGACAGTACATCATAGATACCATGATTTCTTGCCTTGAAACTGGTCACCTTTGGCTTCATAAAGCTGCCTACTACCAGATGAGATGGTGTTTCTTCCTCCAATTCTCCACCTAGGAACCTCTGTTTCTTGGAGCAGGTGATGTAGATAGCGGAGTCCCATAGTTTTGAAACCCAACAGACAGGTGTAAGGGTGAAGGACCAGAGCACCGTTTTGATGCTCTGTTCTTGAAAGTGACAACACTGATAACCATTTCATTTCTACTGACATGCTAACAAACAGCCCAGCTTTTGCAATAAGCAGCTTTGTCAGTGGCACTGACACTGAAAAGATTAGAAAGCATTATAAGATTCAAGAAAAGGATGCCCAATTTTTCTTCTCCCACCTGCAGCATAACTTCGTCATAGTAGAGCATTTACAAGACAAATCAAGAAAGTTCCACTCATCCATTGACAAGCAAGGCTGTCATCTGAGAAGCAGAAAGATTTATTTCTCCACAGCTCTTGGATTGAGGATGGCCAATTACCAAGTCACAGTGATGCAGTACCACCTTTTTCTATGGGAGAAAATGACCTGTCTTTGCAATTACTTCTATGCTACATATGCAAGTTGGCCAGGTTGTTTCTAGGCACAGACATTGTACTTGGTCAGCAGATCTCTTGACACCAAGCTGACTGTGCGACAAAGAAACTGACACAGCAAGCATGGCTCTGATATTTAGGACTTTTTCAAGAGGCCTAACTGAGGATGGAAGCTCTCCCTTTTGGCCTTTTCAGAAGCTGCAGACCAGTCTGGTACTGAAACAGTCATACTTGCAGAACCTCTATGAGGTGTCTAGACATAAGGGTAACTCCTCTGACAAATAGCCGCTTTGACTTTCCCCTCACTTTCATACTCCCTTCTCTCCATTACAGAGCTAAATTCAATTGTGAGGTAGTCTAAAATATCTCAAGAAAAGACTCAGGCAACAATCACCTTCATGAAGAAATTTTGTGCCTCCAATATCCTAATTACATTCAAAATCCAAGGCCTTTTTGGAGTCATGGTATCTATGGTCATGGCCTCTGTTAGGCTTGGAATATGTTCCTTTCAGGGTTGATTTCTCAGGTATTTTGACACCACCTGTAACTCCCAATGCATTCTCCTGTAGTCTGATTATCTCTGAGGTAATGGACATACTTGGCACATCTTCAGAAAGATAAGTCTTTCCTACAACTATCTCCAACTAGGACACTCGTCTCAGATACCTCCCTGTAGGTCATTCACAGTGCACAGTGCTTGGTTACCTTGAGATTGTCTTCAAAAGTTAACCAGAACTTTAGTCAGTATGGAAGGTACTCAAGACATTCAAGACCAATGTGACAGCTGGCAAGTTTTACATAGAGATGGACAATACTACAGTTCTGATGTATTTACCCTTTCACCAAACAGGGTGGGACACATTCTATGCAACTCAACAGACTAAAGCAGAGGTTATACCACTAGGGTCTTCATTGAAGGATCAATTTTGTAGCAATTCATATTGCAGGAATGATCAATTCTTTGTTGAATTTCCTCAGCTGAGCATTCCTGATAGTATATGATTGGCAAGTGGACCACATCATTCTGAACTCTCTCTTTCAATATTAGGAGATCCCTGCAACAGATCTCTTTGCAGCACAGGAAAATGCAGTCTGTCACTGCTGTTGCAGAAGTAGGCAAGCTTTGCTTGGGGAACACCTTTATAATGGAATGGACAAGGGACTTCTATCTTTACCTTCTCTTTCCTCTGCTGTCAAGAGCATTGATGAAGATATGTATGAAGACACCAGTTGTCTCCTACCAGCTTGAAGGTGGCTGACACAGGTGTGGTCACTCCTTTCTTCCACCAGTCCTGAGAAGAAATTGATACTGGACCTTTTTGTTCAGGACCAGAGTAGTGTCTGATACTCAGACACAAGCTATGGATGATGGCCTAGAGGTTACACATTGAGGACTGTTTTGCCTTCTCTGACTCCCAAAATTAAGTCTGCCTTAATGGCCTCTTTATGCAATGAAGTGGAAAGTGTTTTCTGACTGCTGCAAATGGCTTAGATCCTGTCACTTGTTTGTTGTCTTATATAACTTGGAGGTCCTTTTCTCATTGTTTGAAAGCATTGTCTATCAAGGTCTGTCTTGCAGCTTCTTTGGCATCACATGCATCTCTCAAAGGACTCTGTCTTTTTCCATCTTCTCATCTTGCAGTTCCTCCATGAGATGCACAACCTTCACCTTCTGTTTCAATTTCCTGCTCCTTGGAATTTCTCAGTGGTGTTGAAGGCTTTGAGAGTCAAGCCATTTGAATCTCTCATGATGATATGTCATGGAAAGTTGCCTTCTTTGTGGCCATTACTTCAGCTTGGAGAGCCAATAGCTTTGCATCTCAAGGATCAACCCTGCATATTTGACTTAAGGTAGTCTTACATCCTATTCTTGATTTTCTTCCAAAGGTAGCTATGGATTTCTACATGAATCAGGATATTGTCGTTTCACCATTCTTCCTGTCATCACCTGCTCAGTGGACTGTACTCTGCATACTTCAGATGTCAGAAGGACTTGAGCCTTTTGCAGATAGTGGACTAAATCTTTTCAACATTTGCCCAGACTCTTCATACACTATGGGAAAATGTGCCAGGGGCAACTGTGTTCCTTGCGTTGTTGTGCTTCCTGCTAGTGCATGTTATTACTCTGGCTTATGAGCTTGCTGGCCAGGACCTGCCTGCTTAGGTGCATGCTCTCTTCATTGGGGGAGTTGCTACATCAACACTGGTAGCAGTGTTTTTCTCCTTGAACTTTCTAGGGCAGTGGCTTGCTCTAATCCAGCCACTCCCATCAGAAATGATAAGCAGACTGTTCTTTTGGATGAGTAGTGGTTTTGTTTTTGCTGCAGTGACAACAGTGACCCTTCTCTGGTAAGTCAGCTTGTTAATAATCCATGTGTGTGATGCAGAGAGACCATGAAGAACAACTGTGGTTCTTCAAGTGGTTATCTGTGTGTTCACATAACCCATCCACCAACCACACTTCCGTATCTACATTATGATTCCTGTTTATAAGGAGGGTATTTAATTCAGTAGGAATGTCAGTGTATGTACTAAAATGAGTATCAGTACTTCTTGGTCTCAAGGTCACAACAAATGGTTTCATGAACTAAGGGAACAGACTGGAACCTACAAGGATATGTATACTAGGAGGGTGGGGAAGGATTCCTACCAAAATTCTTCAGCTATGGAGGAAGCTTCCAAAGGAGGAAGACCCTGTGTGTGGGAATACAGAGACAACCACTTGAAGAATTACAGTTAGAGGGAGGCACCCTCTTTGTCTGACATACTGAGTTCTGTTGATAAATTGTGATACAATTTCCTACCTGATGCACTTGATCTATTCGTCTACAAGTATGTAACCATTTACACTAGTTTGACATTTTAGCAGTTTAGCTTTTAATGAGAAATTTAAAACATTCAGAGCAGTAGCCTGGCTTGCAAAATATTCTACTTGCTTTAATATTTCTTTCCATGTTCTCTGAATTACTTATCTAAGATCTGTGCATTTTATTTTATTTTAACTTTATAGGACGTGTACGAACCAAGCTTTCAACACCCTCTATTGGCATGGGAAACTCAAAGACAGATTCCAGAGGCCGTAGTCGAACAAAAGTTGTATCTCAATCTCAGCGTATGTATAGCTATGTGTCACTTTTATTCTGTTAATAACATTAAGCCATATACATGGTGTACAATCATTGACCAAAGGATATGGTCAAAATATATTTTTAAAAAACACTACATACTGAGTTGTTGTTCTGTGCCATAGGTTCATCATCGCCAGACAAAAATGAAGGTATATTTTTTTAAGTGTTTCAGTGTTTTGGATCAGTAGTCTGCATGCTTTTGGAGTCTTTTATACTTCGTGTGGTGTTATTTTGGATGAGATATAATCATAATATAAAATTCGCTATTTAAAATCAAAGAACAAGAAGGCATTGTTTCTGTGATTAGACGCTGTGGAGCTAGCTTTTATAAATGGATCTCTCCATTCTGAAGCTCACTGCTGTTCTTTACAGAAAATGAGAATGAATGCATAGTATAGTATGTTCATGAAGCCATTGATCATCTTGAGGATTACAGTCAATTTCAACAGTTCATAATATTTTAGCTAGCTAAAATTGAAACCTGAAATTCAGTCATTTGAGTTCCTTCTAAACTGTATCATTCTTCCCTCTATATAGAGTTCAGTGTAATATATTCAATTAATAATGCATTGGAATTTTATTTATGTAAGGTAAAGGAATTGCTTTTACTCAGTTATACAGTAATTTGCTTAGACGGGCGCTTCAGGTATTTTCATGTGATCGTTTCACTTGGAAAGTCATTTTAGCATACCCATAGTTTGATTAGTTTTAAAGTTAATGTGGCTGTTTATTATTTGTTTTGAGCCTGGTTGTCAAGTACTATGTATTAAAAATTTCTGACAGTTTTGCTCAGTTATCAGGGGACAGCAATTTAACATGAATCAGGGGATTCATTTCCCTGGACTATCTTAGCATCTCTGTTTCCATATTCTTTTAAAGCTTTAGCATCAGAGGCTACTGACTAGGAAGAAAGCCAGTGGGCTGCCGCCACTACATTATCCTAAACCAAACGGAATGGATAATAACATGTGAACGGCAACATTTTTATTTTCCCCAGTCTTCCTGAAAGAAGTTTCTTCTAAATTTTGAGGAATGTTGGGGCGTATTTAGTGAAAGTTTTTCCACTGTGTACATTGTGTAAATACCAGTGTGTTTATACCCATAGAAGATAATGGCCTGTTTTCCACAAAACAGCATGACTTAAACAAACTTGTATATGCTGGGTTCCCTTTGCCTAGTTAACTGCCTGGGGTAATTATCTGAGGGGAAATACTCCTCACATAACCATGGGCTGTTGTTGCGTTATTTGAGGGTTCTCCTCTTCCTTAAACAAAATGCACTGCTCAGATTTGGATGACACAATAAGTCATGGTTGGGCTGGCAGAAAATTGGGCAAATGGCACTGGTAAGCTTCCATTTGCAGAAGAAAAACTTGTAAAATCTTGGCAGGAGGCCTGAATATTTCATTTTTCTTTAAATGGTTATTTTTAAAGACAATATTTCTGTCTTTAATTGCGAGCCACTAGGGCCCTACTTGTTATGACAGAAGTCTTTTATCAATGTATTTTAATGATTCTTTTTTCAGTCATGGAGATTGCTTGCAGGATTAATGAGATATACATTTTTTATTTAAGTATAAATTATATGGACTTTGGATATGTCCAAAATCTTTATCCCATGGTGTGAACCCTTTCTTTTAGCAGTATCTTTTTTTTTCTGTGCCTCTGAAATTAAGTCTTATCGTTCTGTCTTTGAGCTTTGTGGTGTTTCATACGACATAAAAAATACAACAATATAACAATTGAACACAACGACTGATTTCAAATAGCACAATGTCCCACACTCAAGGATACATTTTGGTTGACTGTGAGTTGTGATTGAACATGTGGGTTGTTGTTGAACCATGGATTGTTGCATTATATTAGCCCAACCATGCTAACAAGCAATAGTTCGTTAACCACAGACAACCCCCAATCCACTAACAACCTACACTCAAACTGTACTTAGACTTGAGCCTGGGTTGTAAAACAGTAGGAGTAAACTACCAATGTTACTTCTTCCACACAAGCAGAGATCATTATGGAGAGGCAAGAATCCCATTGGTTTGTTATTTTAGCATCAGTTTAGCACTGGACATAGATGCCTTTAGAACCCTTGTTTACTTTAGTAACAATGGGTTTTAAATATTGGCCCAGTCTATAGCTTACTTGGCATATTGCTGCTCCCATGTCCATATGAAATGCTGAATTATAAAGATTGTATGGACTATTTTACCCATTGTCTGACCTGTGTCTTGAGTGCACACTTAAAATGGGACTGCAGATTTGCCTCCCTTTAATGTGTAAAATTATGTGTGTATTTGAGTATAAATCTGATCTGTGTGTGTAGATCTCAATCAGAAGTAGTTCATGACAAGACTATGGTATATATTATCTATCCAGAATTCTTGTTCTGAGATTAGCTGGTTTTATGGTAGCATGAGCTTTCATAGACAGTGCCCTGTCGAGGGAAAAGGTAGTTGTATGGACATACATATGCATATACTTGGATATGTAATGACAGTATGCTTCATTAATTCTTGAGTAGGAGCATTAAGGTTAGGGAAATGTAAATGCTGAAAAGCTAATAATGCAAAATGTCAGCATTTCATGAACATTCTGCATCTACTTCTTTCATGGTTAAAAAAAAGATGTAATGTTTTTCTTTTGTACCATCATCTCAGTGCTTTTCATGCAAGTAAAGAAATAAAGATATTATAAAACTTCATGCCATAAACATGGTATGAGGTCTTTTAAAATGTAAGAGCACTTACAACTCTCATTGCTATAGGCTTACCTGAATGATATATTTTTTTTAAAAAATGTATATAACTTAGTCCCATGGGGGTGGGTCTGTTGAGAAGTAAGGCCATTGTGTTATATTTACTTCCACTTAAGCATGTATAGGATTGCAATGTTATGTGATAAAAAGGACATATATAAGACAAGTTTGTAAAACTTCCATCTCCTCATGATTTTGTTCACATTATGGGAGAAATGATAGTAATTTTGAGGCATTATTTTGTATTTAAGTTGTAAAGGAAGTTGACAGTTTGCAAAAATATCTGTTTTATTATCTGGATAAATAATTTAAGAGGAGTAAACTTTATGTTTTATTACTATAGTTTTTTACTCATCAGTTTACCTTAAATGGAATGCTTTTTGATTCAGTACAATACTTTCTAAAATGGAAAACACACATCTAGTAAAAATTTTCCTTCTGTCTGAAACAAAATTAAATAGATGAGCTAGTATTTAATTGAAACTAATGGATTCTGAGGATGTTACAGGTATGCTCTCCTAGTCATGCATTTTACTGCAACTGAAGATGTAGACCTTCAGCAGTAAAAAGAATGAGAGATGATAATAGAAAGACTTAATGCAATTGGCTTTTGAGCTGTACATAGGGAATCTTGTTTGTTTGTTTGTTTGTTTGTTTTGACGCTTCTTAAGGCTTTTCAGTAACAGACTCAGAAAGACTTGTATTCAACCTGTCTTTCAGATTTAATTACTAGGGAGCCTGAAGAAGTTGCGGTACACCTTCAATTTGTGTGGGGCAACAGTTCCAATAAACCCTGTGTTTGCTGTCACTTGGGCATGTATTCTGAGCATTCTTCCTCACAGGGATTACTCAGTAGACAAGTTAGGAGAGTATCCCTGAAACAAAAGTTTGACAATTTCTGGCATAAATCTTTATCCATCCCAACTGCATCCTTTTGACTCATGTTCATGCGTCTAATTCACTTTGGTGCCCCCGTTAATTAATGGTAACAATAATTGTTGAAATTCATAGCTGGGGTTTTGTGGATCTACTGTTGACAGAAAATGAAAAATGAGCAGAAATTAAGGGTTTGATCTACTAAAGAAGTGTGGTGGTGAATTATCTATGATTATATTTCCAAGCACACACTTAAGCAGACATAAAGTAAGGCCAGAGACATGAGGGTTACAAGGTCTAATTTGAAAAAGTTGTGGTTGGGTAGTTTATTTTTTTATAACCTCTGCATGCATGCTAAATACAAACTTGTATCCTTTTCTCTCTTTCCCCACTACTATTGCTTTCCTTTACCATCATTATCTAGATTGAAGAACTTATTGCTACCTTTCCTTCAACTAATACATCTTGTACTTAAAATTTACTTTGAAGCTTTGAAAAGATCTTTATTTAGTGTTTCAGTTAATTACTATTGCAGTTCTTTGTTGGAGAGCTGAAGAACTGTAAATGTGCAGCTTCTGTTCTGTCTGCTTCATACGAATGCCTGAGCCTGGTGGAGGATACTAAAATGCACTGCTTTTAGCGCTAACCCTTTTGTGGCATATCCCCCCTCTTATGTGAACTGACTAAAGCTTTTTTATTTCCATTTGCCATCCATTGTTAATCTGCTCTGCTCCCTCCCTCTTCATGGATTTTAAACCCCTACCCTATTCCTGCCTTTACACTTGTTCAGGATCACAGTCTGCTAATCCACAGTCTGGTGGTAAGGCTTTTCAGATTTTCTGTGTGCATTGTTGTTTGACCATCCATCACAACAGGATCCTATTCAGCAGAAGACCCAATATTTATGGTACATTATTGAATGTCCAAGACCATTGAGAGGATATTTAAATATCACAAAAGTAGTAAGAGGAATCTAAAAACATAGGTTTATTAATTGAGACGAACAAGTAAGCAACCTTGGGAAGAAGTGTTTGGGAGTAATTTTGTGATGCTACAAGTTTTAGGAACAGTTTCAGTCCTCTTATAAATATAAACTTGGAAAGATCGTTGATTTTCACCCTCAGGGCTGCTTCAATCACTAGAAAAGTCCCAAATTAAAAGAACAGAAAATATATAGATTGTAAGGCATGACAGTCACACACATACTTTTCTGATTGAATGCTAAGTGAAAAAAATGTGATTATTAGATGTTACAGTCTATATGAGCTTTTCAAAGTTTTTCCAAAATCAGTAATGATGGAAGCAACCTTTCATGATTTGTACCAGAGAACTGAATATGGTGCATAGAATTCAGTTTTTTTAAACCTTAACTTTCCTTTGATTTTTTAAATAAACTTTAAACATAACTTACTGATCATTAAGGTGGCAAAGATGAGTTTGAAAGTTAATCTAAAACAAGCTTTAAAAAAAGTATATGGCCAATGCACAGTTTTGGAACTTTAGCAAAATAATTAGCATTTGCACTTAAATGAAGGAAATAATGTTAAAAATTTGTCTAGCTAGTTAGAAGCAAGTCATACTGAGCGACTGAGACTTACTCCCGGGTCAATTTATAACAGGTGCCACTTTAAATAGTCTAAAGCTATTTAGACAGAGCAGGCATCCACTTACATGCTTTGGTGTACATCTTCTTTGCTGAATAGACTCCTGTTTAGAAGACAGCATTCTATTACAGTATTTCCCAAACATCAGAGCATTTTATTTTCTGAATTTAAAATTGAATAAACACTGATCTCCAAAAATGAGTGCTTATGAGTAAGGATTACCTTTGGTGATTGATGCTTTGACCTCAGGGGAGCTCAGCTTTCATGTTTCTCTGCATGTCACTGTTCTGAGTATGCCTCTTGACTGGAAGGAGAAAAGCAGAGGTGGTGCCTGATGCAGCAAGGTTCCTCTCATGAGGGCAGGAAGTACAGCTGCCTGTAGTAAGTGAATCATAGCCTGTTCAGCAAGGCAGCAGATTACCAGCCCCAGCAAATATTCATTGGAAAGAGACAAGGCCAGAGCAGTGAATCTTGCAGAAAGGCGTTTTCCTTAGTGGATGGATGTTTGGGACTAATAGGAACCTTTAGTTTGTTAAATTTCTTGTAGCACATTTGTGTGACAAGGCACACAGTTTGGGAATTGCTGTTTTATTTCATTAGCATAATTTATCTGAAGGTACACAATGGCCCACATAGCATTTGCATGGAACATTGTCTCAACCCATCATCCTAGTCTGGTTTCAGTCATTTCTTACTATCATGACCTTATGATGAGATTTATTGTTTAAATGTGTGTGGGTATTTTGAGCTGCCTGTCGGGGAGGGTGGCTTAGTCATGTAAGGCTATATTTTGGAACACCCCCCCCCCAGAAAAGTTAAAGTATGAAATTGTTGTATGGGAAACCAGTAACCAGCCTGTTTTTAAAATGGGTCATTATTTATGTAGAATATTTAGGAGTCAAACTTCAGCCGTATTCAGTTATGTCATAAATGCATCCCCATAAACTCAGGGGATTTTTCTTCTTCTGGTAGAATTTCTTTTATTTTCTAAGAATCAAGTTACTTTTAGTTTGCACTAGCCAAGTGCAGTTTTATTTAGTGCTGTGATAAAGGAGTTGAAACAGCCAAACAGTTTACACAGTAATCTAGACTTCTGAGATTTAGAAATAGGTTGTCTGTGTTTTTTTTACAATACACGCACATGAAACCGTTTATTAATGTAAGGTTCTTACTTCCAAAACCTTTTATCAAAGAAGATGTAATGCTTGAACATAGGTTCTAATTTTGAATGTTTTTGGTGAATGCATGGCTTTAGGCATACACACATTGCCAAACCTCATCTCTTTTCAATGCATTAGAGGTTATTCACTTATTTCCTGACTCTTAGGAGTGGGTTGCTGTGTAGCAGAGGGGGCTGCTTTCAGAAGTGGAGGATCAGAAACCCACTAGTCACACCATCTTTACCAGCCCAGCTTATAGTTTGTTTCCAACTATGTTTCTGAAGTACCCAGAATCCTATAAATAGTAAAAGAATCCTTTCAAATTTGTAATAACACATTGATGCTTCCCTGCTAGTTTAATATGAGTGTTTTCTAATATTGGTTTGGTTTCAACCATGAAAAATCAGGAATATGTGTCTTAATAATCACAGATACTGAGTGTTTCAAGAGATGAGTTGATGTAGCTTTGATTTAACACAATATAACCTTTTCCAGATTATAAACTGGCTGTTACCTTCAGATTCCTCCAAACAACTTATCAGATCATTTCCTTCAGCCATAACTGTTTCATACAACTTTTTAAAATCTTCCTATGAATTATAATGCAGAATTTATTTATGTTTGCCTCCAGCTGGAAGCCGTTCTGGTTCCCCTGGAAGAGTTTTGACTACAACTGCACTCTCAACTATGAACATGGGTGTTCAAAGAGTGTTAGTCAGCCCTGCAACAGCACAAAAACGGAGTAAAATTCCTCGAAGCCAAGGATGCAGCAGAGAGGCCAGCCCCTCAAGACTGTCAGTTGGTAAGGCTGCTAAGTAATCATAACCTGTTATACGTCACCAAGTCTCTCAGACAGTGATGGAATGTATGTTATTACTTGGTTCTCCCATGCCATTTGCTAAAATTGGTAGTTCCTCAGATGGAGAACAGCTTTGCTTTACTGTTCTTTTTTAGATGAAGAGGCATATTTGGTAAGCAAAGTATGCAGTTAAAGTTGCAATCATGGCTATTTCATACATTGTGCGACAATGAAACTCCGGTTTGCCACGATGAAGCTGAGTATGTGTGCCTTGCACTACCTATGTAATGTTTGGAAACTTGAGTTAGTTGCACACAGTGTACACAAACTTCATAGTTCTAAGTGTATGAGAAAACAAGCAGCCTGTAGAAATACTAGAAAATTATGAACACAATACTTGGTTTACTCCTTATGTATAAGTGTGGATGAGTAGTATACCGCATATTTTAATGCCTCTTATTTCTCCTGAAGATAGATCTGCTAATGCTCGTATGCTTTTATTTTCCAAACTGAGCTATTAGATGATAAATAAATGTTTGTGTTGCAGTGTCTGTTTTCTGTAGTTCAATGTAAGGAAGTATGCATACGTTTTTCTACTGAATTAATAGAGATGGCAGCAATGCATCTGAAATGCACATTCTTATTGTGAAAGGTAAACAAATGGGATTGCATTAAAATGTCAACTCTTTCTGTGTCTTCTCCCTTTCTGTGCTGCTGTTGGTCTGTACCCTGAATCATACTAGCACGAGGTAGTCGTATTCCTCGACCTAGTGTGAGTCAGGGGTGCAGTCGGGAAGCCAGCCGTGAAAGTAGCAGGGATACAAGCCCTGTCCGCTCATTTGCACCCCTTGGTAAGTACATGGAGAGCTTGTTCTGCATGGCTGTTTGCCCCTGATTATCTGCTAATATAAGCTGAATAAAAATATGGCATTTAACAAATATGCCCTTGCCTGTGAGGCACATAGCCTGTTTACATTGACTGGAGATTTTATCAATGTGAGAAGCTGAAGGTATCCCATGTAATTCTTAAGTGATGGCACAATCCAGAGCAACCCCAAGGTTATTCTACACATGCCAGGCAACAATCTAATAGATCCCCCACTCAGCTACTATTAAGCTGGAGATTATCTTCCATGTAGAAGTGCTTTCTTTCCTAATGACTTCATCAGCAGTTCTTGAACCAAACCCTAGCAGTTTGTGAAAACTGGTGTTCCAAAAATATTTTGGGAGATTCTGGGGCCAATATCTGATGGGGATACTCAGTGCAGTATCCTGATTATAGGCACTTATCTCTGGATTGTACTGTAGGGGTTGTGATTATAATGTTGATGTGCTCAGATTGCAAGTTTGTTCTGTCAGTGTTGCTTACATTTATCAGCTTTTTTCTTGCCAGACTAGATTTGTTTTGATTTGTCTCTATTGTTGATCATACGGATCATTATTTAGTATTAATTCAGTGGCAATGCAGTTTCAAATGACAGCAGGTTCTGTTAACTTATCAGATTTGTGGATTTATAGTCCAATCAAGAAACAAATTATATATAAATATGTCAATTAAATGCACTTATTTTCTAGCACATTATATTTTGGAAATAACTAGAAAAATGCATATAAGACTCATACGATACTAGTATATCTAAACTAAAGTATAGTTTTAAATTTTCATTTTTCCCTAATTGCCTGAGCAGGAACTGAACTGGTACTAGAAACTTCTAAATTATGTATGCCTAACATAGATATTTAAAAGCATTTTCTTAATTTTTCAAGATATATTTTTGACAAGCATAGTGTTCTGCCTTGTTTGACACCTGATATAGGACTACGGAACTATCAGCCTTGAATATCATATTAACACTTCTCACTAAAGCCTAAAATTCATTAAGTCAGCTAGTTCAGCATTGATATTAGTTGTTACTTAAGAAAACAAAAAGCTATATCAATGCTTTTAGTTGTTTGGAAACTTTTCTTATTTTTATATGATGCTTTTCCATTTTTTAAAAAAAGCTCAAAGCAGCTTACCTTTTTTAAAACAGTGATTTTCTTGTTTATATAAAATTCATCACTGCAATGCCACTACTTGACTCCGAAGTGCTGGAACTTAGTTGTTTTTGTTCTTTGTCTTTGATGAGGGTTATGGCCTAAGGAGCAGATTAGAGTATGGCATTAGAAGTTAGTACCACTTCATATACTCTAATGAGGAAATACAGTGCAATTTGTACTTACTTGTATTGGTTAATTTTAATTGTAACCATTTTTATTTTAACAAAAATTGTTCCCTATGCTTCTGCTACACTCCTTTTACTAAATTATATCTAAAGTATTAATTAATTTTTGCATGCTATACATGATTTCATGTTGAATGAAGTTGTGTTAATATGTATTAAAACCTGAATGAACACATTTTAATTTCAACCTAGGCAAGCTGAATCAGAGCATCCAAAATTTCTGTCTGTCCCTAAAACTTCTCATTTAGGTGCTTATATGTCATTGCCCATTAGATTTTGTAATGTTTGTCATGAAGAGGAGAGAATACCACTTTGTGACTGCATCAGGAGGGGGCTGTGGGCCAAAGATCCGCTTTCCCGGCTTCTCCATGAAGAGCGACACAAGAAAGATGGTGCACTCACCAGGGCTTTATTCTTCTGTTACACTTCCACTGCACGCTTCCCGCAGCGCCTTGGCCCTTGCCTGCTCCGGCTCCCTTTCCCCCTGTCGCTATAACAATGAGCTGCGCTGTCCTAGCGGTAGCGCTCCCCAGTCTCTGCTCATGGTTTGCCCCGGCCGGCCGGCCGGCCGGCCTGCCTGCCTGCCAGTGGCAGCTGCACCAACTCTTCCTCCAACACATGTGTGTTTCCACACTCTTTGCTCTCTCACCATCTCTCTCTGCTCCACCCCCCTTCCTCTGCCTCCTCTTTATGTTCCCTCCTCATGCACCACTCCCCCCAACCCAGCTGTCCCTGCCTTGGTCCGCAGTCCCATACAGCTGCGCGCTGGTTCGTATCCCCTGGCCGCTGCTTCCTTGCAAACTGCTCTACCCACATGGATTCCCAGCCTCGTCCTGTTGTCTTTGGCCCGTCCCTGTGGAAGGCCCCAGGAAAAGGGGTGAGCCCCTCTGTCTCCTCGCACACTTCTAGAACCACTTGAACCAAGGAGAACTGTTATTAAAATTCTCTTTAAAGTACTTAAGCTGTCAGGAAATCAGCCATCATGTTCTGTGCCAAATGAAGTTTCAAGGTTAATCACTTTGAAGCTTTATCTTCCATGCAAAAGCATATACTGCTTTGCTTATTTTTCATTAGTTCAATCCTTAATTTGTATGCCTCAAGTTCTGGTATATTGCTGACAGTCTTTGACCATCCAGGTCATATACTAACTGGGCATTTTGTGGCATTTTGGAAAGCACATGTAAGCCACCTACTAGACTGTGGTCAGCCAGTTGTCTGCGATTGCTGCCATGTGCAAGATTTGCCTATGCCATAAATGTTAGTATTGATTATTAGAAATAAGGCAATCCATGGTAGCAAAAGCGCACAGGTGGCTAGCTGTGGGTAATAAATATGATTGGCCCTCAATTGTTCCTGAGTATGAGTCAGTTTCATGAGGCAATGCTGCCTCACTTTGCCCGTAATTTGTTCCATCACTCTTTTTGCAATTATCCTATAATTTACTGTTGTAGTAATAGATAGGGTTCATATGATCCTGTTATTCCAGCTTCCAGGCATCACTCCAGATCTACTGGTGCCCTCTACTCTCCAGATGTTTATGGGGCTACAGGTGAAGGATGAGTACACTTTGTTATCATCTGTGCCATCATCCTGAATTATTTTTCCTATTTTGTTTTCCATGCAGCACATTTTTATCATTTTCTGCATTAATTTGTGTTCATTATTTTGAATTTTTAGAATAAAGTGTGTGAAATAATTATTCTTTTTCTCACTCTGCACAAGGAATTTGCTTTCTCTAATTTCAAATAAATTTTCTTGAGTTTATTAATATGTTTTTGTTATCTCTTATTGCTAAAGCTTTATTAATGCATGTAGCATTGCTATATATAGTGCTATAGGCTATATTGACTGCAGTTTTTCTTAAATTTGCTTCATAGTTTAAAACAAACATGAGAGCAACTAACACATTTTAATAGGAAAAATATTATTTCAACTCCAGCATATGTTTACTATCACACAGTGAGGTACGATTTGATAAAATGCTTTTATGTTGAATTTATATTTATTAAGATATAAAGTCCACAGTCCAACAAAAATTTGTATGAACATGTGCCTAAGAACCGTATAGTAATCCCAATTGGATTACTTTAATGCATTGTACATGGAGCTGCCCTTGAAACCACCTGAAAGCTTCAACTAGTATGGAATATAGTTGCTAGATCATTGCCCGTGCAACCAGGTTATATTATATTATACCAAACCATATTATACCAAACCTGAAGGAACTGTACTGGTCATCTGTTCACTTCTGAGTCTAATTCAGGGTGCTGGTTTTGAATTTTACATCCTTAAATAGATCTAGAACCAAAAGGCTGAAGGCAGTCCTTCAGCCTGGCACTATACAGCCTGGCAGTCTCTCCTCAAGGAACTTTTACAAGGGAAAGTTCCTTCCCTGTTATGGTGCCCCATTTCTGGAACTCCTTCCCCGCACAAGTGTCTCTGTTGCTGACCAGCATTTTAGCTGGCTGGCTATCCACCTTATATTTCACTGAATAAATGACTGTATTCTGCAGGCTGTGGGGGGTGTTATATTTTAGTACAGCATGATCACTTTGGGGTCTTGTTTTATGTACAACCATGATATATTTGGATAACGGGCAGCTTTACAATCTTCTGTTGTTGTTCTTGTTGACAACTAGTAGACTGAGCTTTTGCTGAAGCTTTGCTGCTGCAGTTTGATAACTAAAGAGACAAATCACTTGGAAAACTGAACCGTTGCACACATTTACATTGTGTTCTTTGTGACCAGAATTTGACCCAAACCATCTGGATCACAAGAAGTGAAAGAGTACCAGCTTTTTATGGCAAGAATGATGTTCCTGGAAAGATAATCATTTATATTCCACTTCCCTGGCTTAATAAATCAAGTGTCACTTTGAGGAACTTGAAGGCAGTCAGGTCAATCTAGGATGAAAAGAACTTACTCTATACTTTGCAAGGGTTTGAGTCCTTCCAAATATTGGAAAGCAATAAACCACTGGAAACTGGATTTCAGTTTTACTTAATATCAGTTTGACTATTGCAGGAAAAGTCTGATTTATCTTTTCTCTTCTTTTATTATGACAGGCACAGGTTTTGGAATAAGTCAGTCAAGTCGATTGTCTTCATCAGTTAGTGCCATGCGAGTCTTGAACACAGGTTCAGATGTGGAAGAAGCAGTAGCAGATGCTTTGGTGAGAATCTCTCAATAATATCTCCCTTAAAGGGATGTCGAAGGAAAAGCTTTTTAGTATAACGTGTTATCCTGTTGGATTACTGAGATTGCTAAATTAGATGAATGCCCCTTTCTGAGCAAATATATGCTGTTACATCTCTTTCCTTTAAATATCTCTTTTAAACCCACTTTTTCTATGAAGTCTTTGGCTTAATCACTTAATACTTATTCTCAGCTATAACTCAGTTTAACTACATTTACCAACATTTATCACTTGCTGTTGTTTTCTCTCTCCTCTGTCTCAGCCCCTCATTGTCCTCCGTTCTTAAGCTTATTGGAGGTGGAGACTAAACTGTATTTTGCCTATTATGCTTGATAAATAATTTTACTATATTAAATTATGATAGTGTCACGTGGAATAATACATGCTTATTTTCTGATCCAGAGAATTATGCAGTTGGACAGTCCTATTAACCAGTATTAACTAGTAACTAAAAGCGAGAAAACCCCAGCTGACTTAATGAATGTCCAATATTTTGAGTTTTTTTCCTTGCTGAATTGAGTTCTAATCACAGTAATCTGAATGCGTCACCATTATTATTCCACTTTGCACTGCAAACAGTGTATCAAACATAATAGGCTGATAGACTCCAGACAACCACAAAACGGGGTACACTCAAAGCTGGAATGAAGAGCTGCAATTCAAAATGATGTTGTGAATACTATGACATGTCCCTCACCCCTGATGACAAATGTATGCATATTGGATCATATTCTGCCTGTTTGGGCATAAAGCTTAGTGCACTAAACATTAGCTTGATAGTCTTGGTGTGCCTTGGTGTGCTTCCATCCTAGAACTAGGTGTGTCTTTTTTAGTCATACGGTTCTTGGAAGAATCCACATTCTAGTTGTACATTCTTGCACACCCTATGCTTCTTACCTTACCACAGAGCAAAACTAACAAGCAAACTGGGCTGTCTTGCATTTAGATACACGTAATGATCCTTAAACTGAAGAGTATGAGAGGATACAGTATCCTAAGAATTCAGTACTTGTCTTTGGTTAGATAATAAAACTCAGGACCTCATCACGTATCATAATTTTATAATATAAACTATGAAGTTAAAAAATTGCAGAGGAATTCAGTGGTCAAATCTCAAATTACAAAGAAATATACTTAAGTCTTTGCGTACACCTTTCAGTATTTGAAATTGTTGGGTATATCACAGTTGAATATGTAGTTAAAAACATGTTTTGGCCATGTTTCAGGGAGATGATTAAAAGAGGTTTTTATAGACTTAAAACTATACCTGCTAAATATTATAAACTTCCTTTGTAACTGGGAGTAGCATAATGACATCTGCTAACAATACTTTCCAACAAAAGTTGTCACCAGTATTCATAACTTTCTGTTTTCTTTATAATTCATTGCTCTCAGCTCTTAGGAGACATACGGACTAAGGTATAACTACTCTTGTTTCCTGTTAATGTCAATATGGCAAGTGTTTATAGTTATAAAGTGATGGAAAATTCTAAAGGAAGTGTGTGTGGGTTGAAATGTCATTCTCCTTTTATGCTGCAGTGTCCCTTCCTAATTAAGGATATTGTCAAGCATGTATACAATCTTTCTGTATTTATATTTGGGGCTACTCATCAGTGTAAATGTTGCCAGTATGTACATGGTATCTTTGCAAAAAAAAAGTTCTTCCTTTATAACAGCAAGATCTATCTTATAAGATCACTGTGATTTAGGGTATCAAAATAAAAGCTGTAATTGTTACAAGCATCAAAATTATAAGGTTTGTTTGGGTACTACTTCCCTGCATCTATAAACTATTAGATATATCCGTTGGTCATTTCATTATCTCTGCTATAGCAGTTTTAATCAGAATTGGAGGAAATCAATCATTTTTCGAATAACCATTGTATTACCTTCTACATACTGAGAGGGAAATGATGTGAAATTCATGAATTTGATATCAATTCCAGGTGTGCCTGGAGATGATGGTGGAGTTAGGGAGGTGGAATGTCTGAACAAGCCTAAAAAGAGTATTGCATGTTGAGATAGTCGCTTACACAATATTCTCTGCATGACAGAAAAAGCCAGTGCGAAGGAGATATGAATCATATGGAATGTATTCTGATGATGATGCCAACAGCGATGCATCTAGTGCCTGTTCAGAAAGATCATACAGCTCTCGGAATGGTACCATACCTACGTATATGCGGCAGACAGAAGATGTGGCTGAGGTCCTCAATCGCTGCGCAAGTTCCAACTGGTCAGAAAGAAAAGAGGGTCTTCTAGGGCTACAAAATTTATTAAAAAATCAGAGGACATTAAGGTAGGAGTATCTTTTTAGGCCAGAGTTTCCATTCCCACTGTTATTTTAATACTTATGGAGTATTGCATTTCTTCATATTGTTGTAGTCCACACTGGTCACATTTGTGAAAAGGTAGTATATAAATAGAAATAACAAATTTTGAGAATGTCTTGTTCCACTAAGAAATTTTCACTGTGTGTTTTGTTCAGATGTGGTGACTTTAGTTGGAGGAATGATGAGACTATAGGCACAGTCTAACTAAACTGAAACTTTTGTTTCAGTAGGAGAATTTCCAGGGCAGTACTTGAGACTACAGAATATTTATGACTATTCTCTGAAAGATTCTACAGCGCACAAAAAAACCCTACAGTGACTAGCTTTTAAATTTATAGCTTTAATCCATAACAACATTAAGGCACAATAATACTCTATATGAGAACCAGCATCATCAATTTATGTTACATCAGAGGGTGGGCAACTTGGGTCCTACAATTGTTTTGGATTACAGTTCCTATCAGGCCTCTCCATTGGTTCTCCTGGGTAAGCCTGATGAGAGTTATAGGCCAAAATACTTAGAGGGCCACAAGTTGGTCTGAGCTAGCATTAGTTCAGTTGGTCTGAGCTAATGCTAGACCCATGATCATAGAAAATGCATTCTTCCCAATCCCTGTCTATAAAAAAGCACTTAGGTGTTTTGCCTAGGAAAGACCACCATGCTGCTTTCATAAGTGTGGTTGAAAGAATATTAAACTGCAGTCTCATGTATTCCTTCTTGTGCATGAATTTTCTCATGTCTCTTTTCAAAGCTACCTATGGTCAGCCCTGTTCTATTTGCACAAGTGTTAATGCTAATTATGGTTAGCTTCAAGCCAGAGGTTTCAAACACATGAATACAAACTCAGACTTGAAATGAGTCATGGTTATCTTTACAAACAGGCAGATGTAAGACTGCCTATGTGTCAGGGGTGGCCAAAGCAAGGCTCAGGAGCCACATGCGACTCTTTGAGTTTATTTTGGACCTTACAGATGGCTCCGAGCCCTCCCCCTGCCCCACATTCCACCCCCAGTCCAGATCGCATTAATGGCATGGGCACGATTGTGACAAGCTCTCCCAAGGTGGCTAGCTTGTCCTGCCCTCTTCCTGATGCTAACCCTAACCCAATAAAGTTGAGTTATATTTTCTTCTTTTGAATTCCAAGAAAGAAGGCTCCTCTTTTTGGAGGCACAAGCAATAATTCTGAAAGCAGACACAGATTATCATTCACCTTAAGCTCAAGGCTGACTCTCCTAAAACAGAAAGCCCTGTACCCTTATACAGCCAGACGAAATAGCTCCGTGATCATTCTACTGTTGCAAGTAGAGTTCACTGCTTTTACACCATTATCCCACAACAAATCTCAGTATAGATCTATAGAATACCTAAGGCCTTACATAAATGCTCAAGTAGGACTCATTGAAAATGGATACTTCAAAACATTCCTTGGTTAGCAGCTCATGCATTTACTAGGCACTCCAGAACAAATCTATAGCCCTCTGCTGAGCCTTCATTTCGGAGAAAGTTTCTTTAGGGAGTAGTCAAAATAAGAAGTAGGAAGCCTTCTAGTCAAAGGCAAATTTAGTCCAGCATCCATTTTTTCCACTAGCAAAACCGATGCCTAGGGGTAGATCTAAAGCAGGACATGAGGACAGTAGCCCCTTCCTGCTGTTGTCCCCCAGCATGTGGTATTTTTTGCCTGGAAGGGACATACCCTAGGGCCTACAGCATTTTTTAGTCTCATATGCCCAGACTTGTTTCTTCATCCTGAACTGGAGAATATGCTGCTTGCTTTTACATCTTGGTTCTCCTTGAGACACGGGAAACAGTCATCTATCACCCCTTCCTGTGTTTAGCTTTGAAGCAGGATTTATTGGAGGGATGGGTTGTTTAATTGGTGAACTTTTCGTGAGTCTCTCTATTGCCTGTGCTTTTCTTTTGGTTTCTATGTTGTTGCTACTTTGAGCTGTTACAAGATAATCCTGGTTTATAGTTTTTCCGAAAGTAAGCCACGCTGGTCTGGCAAGAAAGTGGCTCCATTAAGAGCAAGTTGTCAGTTCGTTAAAGTTGAATCTTGCCTTCTCTAATTCCAGAGGGAGTGACTTCACATTTGTCCAGGCTTTCATCTTGTTTCTCAAGCAAAATTGATTTTTCAAATAAGAAAAATCCCTCAATGTTTTCTCTTTAGTAACACTGCTGTGTTCTATAATTAGTCACTGAGGGCACAATCCTATGCATGCTTAAATAAAAAAAAAGAATTCCTATCACTCCCGGCATGCTCCAGTTAGTCATGCTTGCTAGAGCATGCTGGGAACTGCTGCAAGACCTTTTTTTGTCTTAAACATGCATAGAATTGCACACTGAGACTTTCTGGGTGTGTATTATAGTTCAGGGTATAAATATATAGCATAAAGATATTTGAATTTCTAGAAACACTAGAGTCTGTTTGAAAAGTGAATTTACTAAACATTGTATTAAATGTAAAATATTACACTGATTCCTTTTTAAAGTTTTTTTGTAACATTGCCCTACAGTTTACTAATTAGTTTTCTGTCATTTTGGCAGTCGTGTTGAATTAAAGAGATTGTGTGAAATCTTCACAAGGATGTTTGCTGACCCTCATAGCAAGGTATGGATTTATGTTTTGTTCATTAGTGACTGTTCATTGTTCATTAGTGACAGTGCAAGTATATAGGTAAATGCCTGCTATAGGCTTAGGTATGAAATATAACTTTTAAGTCTATGTATGGAAGGAGTTTCTATTTTCAGAAGCAGAGTTGCAATCACAGAAGGACCCTCCATGAACAGAAATTCCTTCGATACACAAATTGAAAAGCTGAGATCCAAGACATGATATTGTCCACTAGTTGTTGCATAGTAGTACAAATGCTGGATTTTATGAAGATCATTAGATCACTGTTCTTCTTAAAAATGGCATTAGGTGCTAAATCACAGGCATGTGGCATTCTGTTTACAGGTTGTCAGTTAGAAATAAAAGGTGGCCAACAACTTTCTTGACCATTGTGACATAATTATAATTAATGCTGCTTCCAGGCCTTAAATGGTACAAAAGACACATGCTGGAATTAGGTAATATTAGAATAATGCTTGCTAGGAGAGGAATATTTATTCAAGCTGTTTTCCATATCTAGAAAGAAAAATGAGAACTCACCCACACACATTCATTGAACTATCTAAAATGACCCCCATGGCTGCAGCTGTATTTTTAGCCAGATCTTCTCCCTCTATTATTGGTTCCCAAATGCATACAATTGTGTAATTGATAAGTGTTTGGCAGTGGTATCTGTTACAGCAGTGTCATCTCTATGTGATTTCATTGTACATTCATTTAAAAAGCCTGATGAGAGCTTAAATCATTAGCAAAATGTGTATGTAAAGATTCAAATGAATGATGGAGTATGTTTGATCTGAAGTCTAGAAGACATTCTGTTAAACCATTAATTTTGGTATTATAGGCCTGTGTGTGGCACATACTGCAAGCTGCTATTGGAATTAAGCCTTTTTAAGAACTGTTAATGCATGAGGATATGCAGTATATTACAGATAACACGTGCAGACATCACATCTGTTTTCCTCAGAGGACATCCTGTTATTTTCACTCTAGTCCACAGAAATGTGTGCCATGATAAATGTGCTGGTTTTTCAGGTGCTCCAAGACTGCCTGTGTTTGGATGGAATAGGTTTTTATGATCCAAGCCATTCCTTCTTGGTGCAGGAGGGTGTGATTCTTTGATCTAATCCATCTCACATGCTCTCTCATTATGTGTGTGTGTTTGTGTGCATGCATATTAATGTATACACATGCACACAACTGCACAAGTGTGCAGATGCACACACTTGCAGAGTTCTTTCCAGTCAAAACAGATCTGCTAACACAGCACCCACTGTCTAATCCAGCACCATCATGGCTCTGGTTAGTTGCCTAGAGACTAAGAAGAGGACCTTTCTAATACTGGAAAACCCAGAAAACATAGTGTACCATCTGTGTTTGTGGGATACCTTGGGAATCTTAACTAGAAAAGGCAGATGGAAAAGCCTAAGCTACAAACAGGCAGGAATGAAATATTTCTTAACCTTCAAGTCTCCACTTAGGCTTCAGACCTAACATTTTAAGAAAGTAAAAATGTACCCGGGCTGGTTAATCAATAGGTTAATTCAAAGCCAAGGATGACCCCACCCCATCAGAAAAGATTCAGGAGGAAAGTATCACTGGTCAGCCCACCAATAATCTAAAAGTACCATCCTGGAACCTACATGCGACAATATTTCCATTCAAACTATTAAAGTCAGTTTTTCTCAGGCTCAGTGAGAATCAGAAATTAATGCTTTACCCACTGAGAAGCATTTCTGAATATTGCGCAAGGACATGATACTCCTCAGATCAGACCCATTCTTCATTTCAAAGGCCAGTTCCCTTTTGTTGCAGGTCTCCAGAACTCGTTCTCCCATTTCAGCTCTGAACCTTGCCAGTCCTCTGAGTTCATCTGGCACAACTTAGGTATAAGGCAAGTAGTGAAAATCGCTTTACAGCAAATCAACTTCATTAGAAAGACAAACTCCTGAGCTTCCTTTCACACATGCACCACATCCTATCTCACCCCTTGCACATAGGCAGGTTGATCAAAGTATGGTTCGTGAAACACAATAGCTTCCAAAAACATTGAAATAACAACATGCTCCACTAGATCTATGGTTACATCAGCACCATTTTCCACAAATTCATTCATACCTAAGATATAAATGGTCATTACCAAAGCCTTTATGTGACATTATATGCGGTATGCGCATGTTTCTGTGGAGACCACTTTTGAGAGGAAGAAGCTGTCTTAATACAGCCACATAGCTCACCTGGGTACTTGTGGGTTTCCCATGGCACCTGTTTGGCCAGTTTTTGACATGTTGGATATCAAAGTGAGATCAGAACAAGGATTACATGCTGTGCAGGTTCTTTTCTGGTTTGGTGTGTGGAAGTAACCAAAGATTAGTTTTGCATTGAGTAAACTTCATATGTGTTTTTCCAGTTGTAACTCATAGTCTAGTATAAACCAAGTCTCTGCTCTTCTTTACCTAATGTTTCCCTTTCTCAGTTACTATTCATGGACCATAAGACTATCACTAGCTACTAGTCCTGATGACTGTATGCTACCTCCAATGTCAGTTGCTGGTGAATATAGGTTGAAGGGTGTTATTACACTAACATCCTCTTTGTGTTATTCCATGTTGTATTACTCTATTTGCGGGTTTCCCATAGGCAGCTGTGTGAATGGAATACTGGGCTAGATGGGCCTTTGGTCTGATCTAGCATGGTTTTCTTACATTCTTACTATTCTGGCTGCCGTGGATTGGAACTGGAAGTGGAGTCTACCAAGAGAGGTTTTAGTGAACAAATTAAAGCACATGCTTCTTTTTCTTCCTGAGTAGGAGGAAAGAACCAACTTCTGGATACTTTTTCACATCAAACCTAAAGAGACCTTCATAATGAATAACCAGTTTTCCTTTCCACTAGATCTCTCAACAGCTTCATACTTACTAAGTCAAAGTTTGTCCATACCATAAGGACAGCAACCTCAGTAAGCCAACCTGTGCAACAGCTCACTTCTATGTTTCCTTTTATTGATACCACAGAGTAGCTACATGACAGCTCTTCTTAAATACTTTGATATAACTTGATATAACTTTTTACTTTCTACATACACATAAACCCTGGAAACAGCTCCATATATACAAGTGAAGGGGCAAAACCACTATGCGTAGGCTTTCATATTTTTGTATTTGGAGCTCCAACTCTGAAATTGTAGATAGTGTTGAAGAAACATCGCAAGTCACTGTTTGACTTGTAGGTAAAGGAAAACTCACATTCAAATAATGATTAATCTCCAGTTTGTAAGACATGTTCTGTGCATGGCATATGGAGAAAAGGAAGACTAAAGTACATTAGGGCCACCTTTGTAATGTAGAGGGTTGAGTAGGATGATGACTCCTGAACCTACAAATTAGTGTTTTAAAGGCAAGTCACTCATCCCCCATGCTGACACATTTATTGTTTTTTGTTTTGCTCGTCTTGACAGTTTGAGAATAAATATTTGGAACACCACTGAGAACAGAGTGATTGAATATTAATATCATAGTTCTTTTACTATGACTATCTCACAATCGCTAAGCAAACCAGCAGGACCAATTTTACAGACTTCAGAATTAATACATTTCCAGACAAGCATCATAGATTTGTGTGTATATCTAGCTTAATTATAAAATATTATCTCGGAATGGTGTTCAGTATGAGTATAATATGCTCAGTGTCAATTTTGTGTTGGTAAATTATTTTATTCCTGTTTTATGAAATTTGAGTGCATTTTTTAATTCAGAGGGCTTTCTTGGTAAGTACGCTTTGGCTTGAAGTCTTAAGGTAAGGGTGTTGAACTTATTTTAGCCCAATTACCAATGCAGCTTTGGAGAAGCGCTTGCAGAATGCCTCACAGTGTTGACCCAGGGCCAAAGGAAAGAAGAGTGGACTAAAAACGATTGCATGTTTTTGCTTAAACTCTTAGTGCCCATGACAAAACTTTGGCGGAGGCATTGCAGCCATTTTAGAATGAGGGGATAAACTGCCAATGTCAGAAAACTACCATGCAAACAAAAAGGGGGATTAGCCATTTGGAAAATGCTGGAAGACCAAATTGGTAGCCCCAAGGAGGCCAGATTTGACCTGTTGGCATAACATTCAACATCCCTGCCTTAGGGATACAGAACTCATTAGAATTCATTTGAAGCTCTTTATGGCAGTCAAGACTCTTCATGACTAACAAGGCCAGACTTGTCAAAAAGAGAGCCTTGTCTACATGCAAAGATCCGCATACAAGTAGTCATTTTTTCAAATACAGTTAGGAATACCTCACATATTAGAATTTTAACAGGACCATCTAAGACCAACCATTCAGCACCCAGTAAAACAGATGTATGGTGTTGTCCAACCTTTCACATGCTTCAGGGGGGCATCATTAGTCTCAATTTCTTGTTGCATATTTCTGTAACAAATCTGATCCTAAAAAACTGAATGCATAGTTCAAATGTTATGGTTTTATTCAGTGTACAGTAGACTTCCATAATATGGATCTCTTTGATGCTTGAATTATCCTGGACCCAAAAGCTGGCAAAGAGGAATATTTTTCTTCAGATGAGTTGGTCTGAAAAGAGAGTGGTGAAGGGAAAAAAGAGATTGAGGGTAGACTTGTGTTTTTATGTACTACTTGGGAGTTTGATAGCAAAGCTGTTAACATTTTAATTATTTAAAAACCCATGTATCATATTTTCCTCATACAGGAACTATGCAGATGGAAACTAATTTGTGTGTTTTATCTTCCCCCTCCCTCCCTTCCCCCCTTTTTTTTCTTTTTGCATGCTGTCCCCTGTGTTGGAACTCTCTATAGAGAGTAAGTTGGTTCAATATTTGTTAGAACCCAAACCTTACTGCATGATTGACATTAACCTCCCCCTCCCCCTGCTCTTCTTTACTCTTATAAAGAATGTGTGCAGAAGCTAGCTTTTGCGCTTTATCCTTGTAATTATGCAAATTATTATGCTGAAATGGTTTTGGATGTGCTTTTGTATACTAATGAACTCACCTTTTGTTTTGTACTTCTACTTTGTGTTGTGGTGACTGGCGCATCTTAATTTCACATCTAAGGAAAGATTTATTTACAGCAAAGTATAAACCAGGTTTTCCCCCCTTCACTGTCCCGTTTCAACTTTATACATGATTTTCAGAATACAGTATTTAGTCAGACCAATAATAAATGAAAATTGAGTATTCATGCTGTTAGTTTCTCCATCTAGCTCTCCTTGGATACCAATGTTTTTTCTAAGTATAATATCCTTTTCCAGAACAAGGTGAACTCTAAATGAATTCCTCCTATACTTCAATGCACAGGCTGAAGGGAAAGAAAACTCATTACTAGATTGTTGGCATGCTTTTAGATTTATCCATAATGTGTGTAACTGGCTTGCTCCTATGTGTTAGGACCTGTTACTGAGTGTCTTTTCAACCTTTCAGCATCCTTCAAGTCAGTCACTGTTTATTAAGTACAGTGTTGTCTATCCAGTGCTATTTAATCAGTTGCATCAACTGATTGGCATCCTATCTACATCACATATGGCTTGGATGAAAACTAAGTTAACTGATTTGAGAGTTCCCTGTTATATCTGAGCTGTTGTGAGTTTAAACTAGCTAATTTAAACAAGACAGGATCAAACTGTATTTTATTTCTGTGACTAAATAGAGTTTAGTTTAACCAGACTTTGGTTATAATGAGGAATTTACAGTAAAAATGGTTAATATCTTCCTACAGTTATGTTCAAATTGGCTGCATAAGTAGACATGCTCCAGAAGAAACAGATTATATTTACAGTAAGCCCATCTTCTGTATGATAAGAAATATTTAAAACTTTACTTGGATGCTGAATCTTGCAAATAATTGAGGAAAAGAACAGTTTTTGAGCAGGCTGCTTTAAAGAAGAATGAAATACTAGATATTGTGGGCCATGTATGGCCCTACAGGTGAATCAACCAAACTGGAAAGACTAACTGTGAAAATTCTTCACAGATCTCTCCCTTGCCTAAGCTGGTTTGCTTATCTCATTGACCTGGCTTATCCAAAGTAAGGCTCCATAGGTTAATTCCTGAGTTGGGCTCCAAGACATATGTTGCCTGTCATTTTAATCTGCACACTGCAGCAGGAGCTCACACAGTCTGTTGTGTTGTGCAAATCATGGGCCATCCGAGCATTAAACAACCTTTGGATAGCCCTGGAACAACCTGCATGTTAATTTACGCATGATTTCTTATTGTGACATGCAAACCGGCTCTGTTTTATTTATAGTCATCCTTTTTTTTTCCTTTCATGGAACTCAAGGCAGTTTGTGTAATCCTCCTCCTCTCAATTTTATCCTTACAAGAACCCTGTGAGGTACGTTAGGCTGAGAGTCACCCAGTGAGCATCATAGCCGAGGGGGGTTAGAATCCAGATCCCTGTCCAGTACTCTAACCACACTGCCTTTCAAATAACCTCAAAGACATTTTCATCATTCTGTTTAAAGCAGAAAACTGTATACCCTCGTTTCTGTTTTATGTATTGGAGAGAAGGCATTCTTGTTTGAAAGTTGGATTCATTCTTTGACCACAAGATAAGCTTTTTCAATGTCACTTAAAGCACATCTTGCACTTGTGGAGAATCCAGGTGTTTGATTGAGTCTTGGAAGATCCTTAGTTCACCTAGTGGTATTTTATTGCCTATACTGAAAAAAACTACATTTTCTTCCAAGGAAGGTTGGTATGTGCAACAACAGATTGTTCAGTCAGCTGGTGTTCAGACTCATTCAGTTGACCAAAATCGATGTGTGTAATTCAATGTCTCTCATTATATTGTTACTTCAGCAGTGATTTCCCTAAGTCTACTGGTGATGAAGCTTCCAGTTTGTAGTTTGTATCAAGTTTCACCCTGTCATACTAAGCTATTCTATCAAATTGTGAATTGTGCTTTTTCTATCTACCATTTTTACTGAGGAATTTTGTAAATGGCGGTTTAAAAAGTAATACATAACACAATGCTTCTTTATAAGAGAAGAAATTTGCACTGTTTCTGTACTTCAGTATGATAATATTTTGGATAGATGTTCAAGTTAATGTTTCACTAAAGGCTTGCCATGACAGCTTAGCTTTAAAATATGTCTGTGTGGGGGGGGTGTGCGTGTGCGTGTGTGTGCATGTTGTGTTGCATGCAAGGCTGAGTGGATTAACAGTCTAAAACAGTGTTTCTCAAATGGGGAGGCAAGTCCTCCTCCAGTGGGGGTGCATACAGTGCAGTCATATACACATCTACTCAGAAGTAAGACCAGTTTAGTTCAGAGGGACTTACTTTCAGGTAAATGAATATAGAATTGCAGCTTTAATGTGTTAGTGGCTGGACTGGAAGTGTGGGTATGTGTGCACATGCAAGAGAGAGACAGAGAGAGGAAGATGGGCAAATGTGGTTGAGCAACATAGGATCTATATGAGGCAATACAACAGGGAAACTGGGCATATTTGTGCAACAGGGCTACTGTTAGATACAAATGGGAAGATAAAGTACATCAAGAAAGCATCACTATTTCTTAAAGTTTGAGACACACTGGTTTAAACCATTTCCACAAAAATAAATGCAACAAACCTCACCGAAGGGAAGAAGTTGCGCCAGTCATCACAGCTTTTCTTTACCCAGTTATAGTGCATGAAGTACTAATTTTCAGAATTGTACATATATTCTTGAATCACAGATTCTGATGAAACACAGGACAGAATGTTTTCCTGCTTGGCTGTGAATCATTGCCTCTATCCGCTTCTGTGTGTTACTACATTGTTCTTTTCTGAGTTCAACACAGGCAAGCATCAACTCCTTTTCTTCCCTACTCTTTATTTTTTTTCTTTTGTCCTCTTTTCTCCCCCCCCCCTTTTTTTTGGTACCTCCTCCAGGTGTTCAGCATGTTTTTGGAGACTTTAGTAGATTTTATCCAAGTCCATAAAGAAGATTTACAGGATTGGCTATTTGTGCTGCTTACACAACTGTTGAAAAAAATGGGTGCTGACTTGTTGGGGTCTGTGCAAGCAAAAGTTCAAAAGGCACTTGATGTGACCAGGTAATAGACTCTGTGAAAGTAGATGCATTGTTTGATTTTCTGCATCTTCATATCAGTAGTTCCCTCTTTCATTCCTAGGAATGATAGTTTCCCAAATACAAATTCAAGCTAAAGGTAGTTTCATGCATGAGGACATTAGAATGAAATGAGAAATCAATATGTTTCCATATTTATTAAATGATTCTGGAAGTGTATTGACATGTATAATATACCTAGGCATTATATCAAAAACCTTTTTCCAACCCCCCCTTGATTGATGTTAAAGAACAGGGATTGAAATATTTCATCCAGCTGCCTAAAGATTTTCAGCATCTATTAATGCTTCGACTTTATGTGAAGCAGCCCCACCATCAATATTCCAATGCTCCTTTTCTCAGCCAACCTGCTTGTCTGTCTGCCTCTCCCAGGCCAGTATATTTGTAGCAAAAAGCAGCTGCATATTTTCTAATTTCTCCCCTTTTCCTCTTTGATTTTCCACACTCCTCTTAATAAACTGTTACAGAGTGATCTTTGACATTTAGGGCATGATCATTGTTCTTGCAGAGAATCCTTTCCAAATGATCTCCAGTTCAGCATTTTAATGAGATTTACTGTTGATCAGACCCAGACACCCAGCTTGAAGGTAAGAACTTGAAAGAGTTTAAAAGCAAATGAGATTTGTAAAATAATCTATTCATTAATGTTTTTGTATCTGTGTTTCATTCTGTGTGGCTGGTTTTCAATTAGTGGGTTTTGTTTTTATAAAATTTCAGACAGTCAAGCCAGCACTGCAGGACCAGCTTCGCTCTTTTTGGAGCTCCAAGGTTTTTGTCTGCATTATTGCTTTTTTAACCTACAAAGTGTAAATTTTATATTTTTAAATTTTTTATTTATATGCATCCATATGCAGCTACTAACCTTTGCAAGGAACTCTGAGCATGCTTTTGTCCAATTAATGTCAAGCGTTATGCTTCTGTTAACGTTTGACAGTAAACCTTTCAAGAAAACACGACAAGACTGAGAAAATTAAAAAAAAATGTATGTATGGCTGCCTAACACAAAGCTGGTTATGCAAACTCACTCTGTCAAGTCTCTTCTAATTTTATGTTTGTGATTTCCCAAACCTCATTTACAGATTTAGTTGAATTTATGCTTGATCTTCCCGCAGTCACACAGCACTTTTGCAACTTCAATTATTAGACACACTTACCTCAGTATTCTCAAAATATGAATGTTTTAGGAGATAATGATGCAAATTCAAATATTTATATGGCAGCTGAAAATATGTAATGCATTGGAATATATGAGAAAAACTACACTACACTGCAAGTGTGTAGCGGGAGAAACTGCAGCCTTGGGTATACATGAAACAAATATTTAAACTGAGGCAATTTGGGAAAATAGCAAGCATATACAACCAACATTTTTCCTCTGTCCTGCACGCAGTAAATGCACACAAGTTTGTTCATAGCTTTTCACAAGGTGGCACTTCTTAAACACGGTGCTCAAGTCGCACGCAAATATATCTTCATTTGTATAATGTGCAGCACAACTTTGTTGTACATGTTAGAGAGAGATTGATTTTAATGCTGTTTCTCAGACAGAGCAACTGATAACAGAGAGAGAGAATAGTACTAGTAGGGTGAGGTGGGAGGAAGAAAACCCCCTGTTTAAGAAAATACTCAGTCTGTCTGCTTCTGTTGTATACAGAATTTAGATTTTATTCCTGAAGCCTTTCAGTCGTCTACAGTACAATTTTTAGAACTGAGTCCCATGGACTGCTGAGTAGGGAAAAACAAGAAGAAAGCAGGTAGAATTTGTATGTTATAAATTGTGCTGATGCCTTGGTCACCAGGCACTTCTTATTTTTATTGCTAATAGGATAGCTTGATAACAATTTAATGAAGTATAGCATCCTTGTTTGTTTGTTTGTACTGCTGTATATCTGAGCATATTTCCAAGCAGTGAACAATGAAAAGAAAGAAAACAAGGCAAAATACATGATTAAAATGTTTAAAATCACATTTTAAACCTAAAATGATACTTATGTCTGTGTTTATATATTAATATATGGGATTATGCTGGTGCAATGTATTTGTCCCAGCTGGTCTTCTCCCCCTCTTTCCAAGCAGGTTTCCACAGTCTTACTAAAGTTTTTGTTATGTTAAAAATGAACAGCTTTCTTGCTTTGTGATACAAAAGAAGATTATTGCAGAAGTCTGTAACAGAGAAAACAAGCAAAGTTAGCATACTGGACATTGAAAACTAAATACCTCTCCTCCCTTCCAAACCAAAAAGTTTGACTCCATCTTCAAAGCTGATCCTGCTGCTTATGGGCCAATTGTTTCGAATGTCTGAAATTTCTCAGTTGGTCTGCCCTCTTAACCTACCACTGTATGATTGGACTAATGATGCTGGAGCCATTATACCCTATATTGGCCTGTTCATTAAAATTTCCCAGAGTTAAGAACTCCCTGTTTCTTAGTGACTGCCAGGATTATTTCTGAGTTTACTAGCCTTGGCAAGTCAACTGAGATTTCCAGCTTTTCCTCCCTTTCTGCATCAGAGTCAACAATCTTTAAAATCTGTATTATAGGGGGCATGAAACCTGTAACTTACAATATTTCTGAAAAAATAGAGTGATGAGATGAAAAAGGAAATTATTGAGAACAGTTAGCATTTGGTCATTTAAAACGTATTTAAATCAATGCAAGAGCAGCCTTGCTGGGTTGTCCCATAGTTTTATCTAGTCCAGCTTCTAGTCTGATATCTGGTCTGTGCACACACTTTTTTGAATATGCAATTCCCATTCAGCAGATTGGTTGTAGGATTGTATGAGAGTTGTATAACCATTGGCTAATGTCACATGACCACCTGCCTGGGCTGCAGGTTCAAAATGCTGCACATCATGGGTTAAATAACTCAAGGTAACTTGGCCTCATCATTAGAGTCATTCCATTGTTTGTAAGCTCATATGTGAAGGCTACCAGATAATTTGATGGAAGCAGCCAGAACATGGCAAAAGAGGAGTCATTCTTGTTGGATAGTCTGATGAAAGTCTTAACATATACAACTTGTAGTGCAGCTTCAGGGCACATGGTCGGTTGGGCTGTTGAAACATTTTCGAAGACTAATTAAGTTCTAAGTAGAACTAGATGCTACCACCTTGACTTCCAGTTGACTAAGTACTTTCCAGCTAAAAAGGGGGCGTGCCAATAAAACATGCTTTGTATTACCTTCTCCATTGTGTTCGCACAACTTACTAATTTTCTCCACTCAGCCCCTATAAAGAAAGCTTCAGATATTGGACAGGATAGAAATTAAATAAAGTAGCTAAAATGAAACAGCAGAGTGGAATTAAAAGAACTAAAAATGACGTGACGATTCCGCCAGACCAGTCTTGCATTATTACATAGTTCTTCAATATAGTAGTTTTAAATTATGAAAATTAAAAACATGTTTACTTTTCATCCACTCATGTTCTTTGACTCCAACACTAATTTTATTTATCAAAGACAAAGAAAAGTTTTGTCACTTTTCCTGTCAGCAGTAGTATTACTGGGTTGTTCTTGAATAAAAAGAATGTTCTTCCATCTGCCTGCTAACAAGCAGCTGTCATATTTTTCTGTACATTTGTTTGATTCACTTCATCTTTATAGGTAAAAGTTGCAATTCTTAAATACATAGAAACTCTTGCGCAACAGATGGACCCAGGCGATTTTGTAAATTCAAGTGAAACCCGTCTAGCAGTATCTCGAATTATCACCTGGACAACAGAACCTAAAAGCTCAGATGTTAGAAAGGTATGTTGATTCATGTTAAAATATTTATAAAGCATTTTATTTCAGGATTTTAATTCTCCATGTTAATGCCTAACATTCTACTGAACTCAGTATGATTGAGTAGACATTGCAAAATCATATGGAGAAGGGTTTTTTTTCTTCAAAAAAATGTTTTGCAAATATTTCAAACAGCTGAGGTCCATAGCCACCCTATTAGCTTGCCATGGCAAGACTTTTGACTTGTATACAAAAGTATCTATTCTGCTAACAGATAGATACTTTTAGCAGATCAAATTACCCTTCTGCTCTTTACCCTTCCTTGTGTCCTCCAAAACCACCCCAAAGGGTTGAGGATGCCTTCAGTGTTGTAGAGGGGAAGAGAAATGCCTGGAGTATCGGTGGAAGTCAGCTTGTATACCATTGGTTTTTGCCCTTTGGTTGCAATAAAATACTTGGCCTGAAATTGTCTGATTTAATTTGCAGTTCTCCAGAAAGTGTCTGTATTTTTATTACAATAGTCCTGACAATAATGAGTACATTTCCGGCACATTGTAACTATTTTAAACCTGGCCTATTTATTTCATCTTTTTCAAATGATTACATGTTTTTCCTAGGCTGCACAGTCGGTCCTGATTTCCCTTTTTGAACTCAATACTCCAGAGTTTACAATGTTGTTGGGTGCTTTACCAAAAACGTTTCAGGATGGGGCCACAAAGCTTCTTCACAATCATCTCCGAAACACAGGAAATGGTGGCCAGGTATTTGCAGGCTTTTAAACTTACTCCTCATTAAAATGCTTACAGGTTTGATCATTCCTGTAAGACATTACAATGCTTATGATAAATGTATGCATTTGACTTAGAATTTTCATTATTAAAATTACTTGAGTTTTCTGGGTATAATTTTTCCTAAGCAGTGCCATTTTGCCATGTTTATCCATTGCTCACTGATATAAAGATAGTGCTAATTGAAGAGGCTTGTATAATCTTTCCTTTAAAAAAGTTTGAAGGATAGTCTTAAATAATTTCATAAAGATTTTTTTTCCCTATTTCAGGGGTCTATGGGAAGTCCTTTAACGAGGCCTGTTCCACGCTCCCCAGCAAGTTGGTCTAGCCCCATCACTTCCCCAACAAATACAGCCCAAAATACTTTGTCACCAAGGTAGGAGACCAAAATATATATGGCATGAACAAAAGTGATCCTTGTATTGATGGAGGGAACTAGAATCCATAAAGTCAGTATCAAATCTTTGCAAATAAAAGAAAAAAGTTCTTCATATGTTTCTTTTGTTGTTATACAGTGCATTTGATTATGACACAGAAAACATGAATTCAGAAGATATTTATAGTTCTCTCCGTGGTGTAACTGAAGCAATTCAGAATTTTAGCTTCCGCAGTCAAGAAGATATGAATGAGCCTATGAAACGGGATTCCAAAAAAGATGATGTTGATTCAGTGAGTATTTCACTTGCAGGAAAAGTAGGACTGTAGGTCTACAAAAAGATAAACTAACTTTGGGGTATTGTCTTATATATGGGTGTTTACTAGCAACATGGCCATGGAAACTAACATGCATGTCAAGTCAGGAACCAGTCAAAGGAAACGGAATCTGTCATTTAAAAAACAGCAGGGAGCCAGGATTATTGGGGCAATATATGGGCCATATTAAAACTATGGAAAGACCCTGTTTTTACTTTATAAACTGTTGTATGTTAATTAACTTTGCCCTTTATATGTTTACTTTTGAATAACAAAGACATCATTGATGATATAAAATAAGAATATATACCCACTTTGTCAAAGACCATCTAAAGCTAGTCTCAAACCATTTTATTTTATCTAATACATATTCAATTGAAAATCATAATTTTGTAAAATAAGTAATACTTCTGAATGAAATATAAGGGTGTAAAGCAATGAAAATGCCCTTAAATACCTGAATTTGGAAGGTTACAGGCACCCTGTGCAGAGCCAGGGGAAGAGTGAAGGTGATCACCTCCTCCTCCTCCCACTCTGCACTTTGGCCATCTAGGTGGGGCTCTTCAGGGGGAAAGGAACAACTATGGAGCAACCGCAGGATACCTCATATTATGCCATTCCAGTCTCCTTCCTTCCCTCACCTTCTTTGGCGCTTCTCCAAGGTGACTTTTCTTACCTCAAAGAGCAGCCGGCATGGTTGTTCCCATACCAGCTGCAGGGCAGCAGGCAAGGGTGATCATGGCACTGTCTTGAGCTGAGAATCTGGTTAGTCTTGGGCCCCTCAATTCACCCTAATAATACCTAGTGGCCATAGGATAATCCCTAAAACTACTATATTTACTTGCAAATTATGTTTATGTATTCTTACATCCCTTTCTGCTCCTGTTAGATTTGCAGTGGGTCTGGAATAGTAGATCTGCGAGCAGGAGGTGGTGCCAGTGATACAGGCCGAACAGCTCTTGACAACAAAACCTCATTACTTAACACAATGCCTCCTCATTCTTCCCCACGGTCACGTGATTATAATCCATATAATTACTCGGATAGTGTTGGTTCTTTTAACAAATCAGCTTTAAAAGAGGCCATGTTTGATGATGATGCAGACCAGTTTCCTGACGGTAAGTCTGGTGAGTTGCAAGCATTGGGAAGGGCTATATAGATGGAATAGCACAGGCAGCAGTAAAGAGAATTATTATCTGGTCCAAATTACAGAGAAGCAAAACCGCCTTGGAAAAATTGTTTCTAGCAGATGTCTTGAGGTATAATAGGCTAAACGAAGTCTGCAACTTGGTGTCCTAGATGTTAACATGACGGTACACAAAAATTAAACTAAATATAAACTGTTAGACATTAAGGATGAGTTCACATCAACCCTCCTTGCATCAACCCTCCTTGCAAACAACCTACACAGTGTGGGTTCTTTATGGAACATCTCATGTGCCTGAAAGATGTTCACGCTCATCACAGGCTGTTTCCCCTCCCAGAAGAATCCCAGTGATCTGTGTGGCAGAACCCATCTGCCGTAATTCCCTTTTGCAGTCCCTGTGGTTTTTTCACCATCTCTGAAACAACAGCTAGTGACAGCCCTAACATATGCCCAAGCAGCACATTAGAGAGGCCATTGCTAGCTTACATTGCTTTTATTTCTGTGCCGTAAATGTGTGCAAATGTTATTTTCATTGAGTTTTTATTATTTGGTGGGAGGGTCAGTAATTTGGAGGTGCATGAATTTGCTCTTCTGACAACCTTAAATTGGAAGACTTGCTTGGTCAACGTCAAATGCACATTGGCAAAGCAGCTTGACAACTGTAAAACATATATACAAAAAACAATATATACAACTTTGCTTGGTCAATGTCCAGGGATGCTACCTATACCACACACTTTAACACATATGAGGTTACTGACTTGGCAAGACTCCACTTTTTAGGGTAGGCATAAGTGTGCCTCCAAAAGTCAGAAAAAAAACTGTGATTGTGCATGATTTTGATACATGCCACCCAAAAAAGGAAGGTCATGAACCAGTGACTTTGCCTCCAAAGTGCCACTTGGGCATTGGGGAAGTGGCTGTCCCTGGCAGCAGCAGAGGTGAGATTGCTAAGAGCAATAAGGAGGTTTTGACTGACTCCAGTGGTTCCAACATGCCATGATAGGATCGCTCTCCTGGATTCAGATAATTGCTGGTCAGATATCCCTAGAACAAGACATGAATTTTCAGGGTGGCTTGTTGCTCAACAACAAGCCACTGTACGGGAAGCAGTCTCATTTGTAGAATATAACAGCCCACCATGTCTGGTTACCCGCAAGTGGGTTACTTTGTCAAAGAAAAGGATGGGAAAGCATTTAAATCCTTCTCTAACTAGAGGTGTCAAGTTGTATACTGAAGAAGCCATCAAGGCCTCCAGCAGACCACAGCTGGAGAGTTGCTTATTACCTTGGAGAAGCAGTTGGAATGTTTAGGTCAAGCTTGTCTGCCCAGAGAGTTTTGGCTATGGGGCAATATAGAAATGATGATGCTGATGATAAGGCTGAGAATGAGGAGGAGGATACCTTTCATAGTGTTTGGGGCACTGTTGTGCTATGCTACTGAGCCACTGGATGTCAACAAATAGGTTAAACTGGGAATTTGCTTACCTGTTAACTGTCTTACAGTTGTTTACCAGATAGTCCAGGATCCATCTTGGCTTGATCTTTCTTGTAATCATTATCCTGGGGGTTTCAGTGGTTCAGAGACTCCCCTTTTTCCCCTATTGGTATGGAATAGTTTTTGGACTGGAGTAATTAATTGCTTGATTATTACTAACTGGCTCAAAGGAGGGCCATGTTTCTTACTCAAACCTCAGCAGGTTTCCAAAAACCCTGCCTCCTGAATGGATGACTAGGTTATCACCCAGTGTCTCAACCATTCTGTCACACATGTAATAGGAAAAATTACTAGTAAGTCTTAGAATCTCTGAGGTATAAATTCATATTGATTGTTTCTGAGGGTAGTAGTTTGCTATCTAGGGAGGTAGGTATTGACTCTACTGTTGCACATCTCATATAACTCATTGCCATCTGTTAATAAAAGCGGGAGTTATTTTTGATATGTTTGCATTTTCCTTTGGCACAGAGCATCCCCTGGATCATTCTGACCTGGTTGCGGAATTGCTGAAAGAATTATCAAACCATAACGAGAGAGTTGAAGAACGGAAAGCTGCCCTTTATGAATTAATGAAATTGACACAAGAAGAATCTTTTGGTGTCTGGGATGAGCACTTCAAAACAATTCTGCTTCTATTACTTGAAACCCTTGGGGACAAAGAGGTAAGGCCCAAAAAAGCAAAAAAAAGCTCTACTTTCCTGCTGCTTACCTGGCTGTAATACTTGATACCAGTGTTTTCCTTGAATACATAGTAAGTGAAGATTACCAAACTTTACCTAAGTAGGAGACTAAGAAGGGCATTGCTTTCTTGATATGGCCCTGTCTTCCTACATACACAGTAGTGCTGCCCCACCTTGAATTAATGGGCACCATTGATCACGGACAAGGGGGCTAATAGCAAAGTGGATGTTCAGTACCTGGATGACATGGAGTGGTGGCGTGTCCCTCATTTAGTGATGCTACATTCAGAGGCTTCAGTAGAGGCCTGGGACCCACATGCAGCTATATCCTGTGATACACATGTAATAATGTTAGATGTGCTCTGTTATTGAAAGTAATGTATATGTAATATATTCTAGTCATAGTACTTGGTTAATATGATATTCACCACAGAAGTTCCGTCTCAAGGAAAGAGGTTTGGATTTTTAATACAAAATTAATCTGGAAAGATCCTTATTTTCAGAGACCCAAAAGAATGAATTAAATACTCAGTTCATTTCTAGAAACACAGCACTAGGTATCCATAACTGCAATGCAAAAAAATAGCAGTATGAAGCTCTACAAATAAGACTAAACTGAGTATATGTTTAAATTTTCAGCATGCAATTAGAGCACTGGCATTGAAAGTTTTGAGAGAGATTTTAAGACACCAGCCAGCAAGATTTAGAAATTATGCAGAGCTTACAATCATGAAGACTTTAGAAGCTCATAAGGACCCTCACAAGGAGGTTTGTATACAGACCTTAGGCTTCCGTTGCATGTGACTGATGTTACCAATGTAGGTTCAAGGAATGAAAAGAATATCCTATGGGTATTTCATAGGAATACAGTCTGCAAAACTGCCATAATTGATACAACTATCAGGTGAGAAAGTAAGACTCCTGTGCTCTCAAAGACAAATTTTCCCCATTGTCACAGGTTTTATGGACAAGGATTACTTCTCCATTGAGGCAGGTAGTCCTTTACACTTAGTTCCAGGAAGCTATGACTCAGCTTTGCAAGCTACTTCCTATCAAGCCTGTTAGCATCCTGGGAAGTAGTTTTAAGTAGTATTAATAAGAATGTTATTCTTCAGGCATGTGAAATAATTTGATAGTAGCAGGCCTACTGGACGAGCTCCACATAATTACTGTTCACACATACTTTCCAGCAGAGTAGGGTTGCATCACAGAGAACTAGCTTACATGCCACTGTGAATGCCTATGACAAGAGTCTCCACTGCTCTGTCTTGTTGCTAAACTGTTATTCAGTCTTGCCTTTTGCACACCATGTACAATTGAATTCTTTTTAGCTGTATGGTCATTCTCTAGAATAAATGAAAGAGCAATTAAATGTCAAGCCCTGCCATAAGATGAAACTACAAACCCTGAATCACGTTTTTGAACTAATGGGGTTTAAGAGCATACTCTCCATTTGTGAACCAGAAGGATTCTCTTTTTAAAGTCAATGTAACTTCAGTGTGTGGAATTAAAACGTCCAGATCCTTGATGTCTTACCCCAACAGTTGACTTCTTACCCCAACAATTTGTAGATTGGAGACATCAGTTCCTATTTTCAGGCCTGAGGGTGCTGAATGTGTTTTTGAAAATAGGCCCCGCCCTTTCTGAGATGGTGTTCTCTCAATAGGAATGTTAGGTATAAAGCAAAGTGTGTCTACAGAAATTTTTCTATAAGGTTTTGACAATATGCTAATAGTAAAATTGAATAAATTCAATTTAATTGCTTCCTCATGTTTCTGATTGAATTTTTAGGTGGTACGGTCTGCTGAAGAGGCTGCTACTATGCTGGCCACATCCATTAGTCCAGATCAATGCATCAAAGTACTCTGCCCCATTATTCAGACAGCAGATTACCCCATAAATCTGGCTGCAATCAAAATGCAGACTAAGGTGATAGAGAGGGTACCAAAAGAAACACTTGCTCAGCTCTTGCCAGAAATAGTACCAGGTCTAATACAGGTAAGACAGCATGCAGCCCTCGGGTTGAAAGGAATTTTGCAGTCCCCTGATGGTTGACAGCATATTCCAATAGCTTTCAGAGACTTTTTATTTTAACTAGTCTGTATTTTATAAATTAACTAATATTGTTTAAAATACTATTTTTTCTTGCTTTCTAGGGCTATGATAACTCTGAGAGCAGTGTTCGGAAGGCTTGTGTATTCTGTCTGGTAGCCATTCATGCAGTCATTGGTGATGAGCTGAAGCCACATCTCAGTCAACTCACTGGCAGCAAAGTAGGTGGAGGCTTGTCATATCCACAATTTTGTTTCCAGTAGTTGCTACGAAGTGGGAAGAATTGTAGGGAAGGGAGTGGGGAGAGGGGGAATCAATAGCTGGTCTTGAAAAATAATCTGGAAACAAGTGGCCCATTGTTCATTTTATCTTCTGTGCTCCTCCTTGACTATTTGTGGTAAACATAGTATATAAACAGACTGACTATAACTCCTGTTATGTTCCATGTAAAGTCAGGCTTCAGTTAACATTCTGCTTCAAAGTAGGTGAAGGTCCAGTTTATAGATGCAGTACAACTAAAGTGGGTAACCTTTCACAGATAGTACCTTTTCAAGCTACAGATGAGGAGTTGCCTGTTTAAAGCTCCCGAAGCACACATATAAAAGTACCCCATGCACACAGAACGGGGGTGCTCTTTCAGACCAAGGGATAAATTCCAGTGGTGGGTGGAGCCAATAGCAGAATGGGCAGGGCCAAAATACTAGCATATTAAGGGAGTAAAACTCTGACTGCCTTAACAGAATCATGTCAACCTTGTCAAATGAAGAAAACTGCCCAAAAGCTGTGAAATCACCAAAAGATCAAAAGTTGAGGGGAAACAAGCAGAACCAGGAGAGGGACATGGCTGTTCTAGGGACCCAGGCAGCAGATGGGAAACGGCCCTGCAGTTCTGCACCCCTGGTATACAAGAAATAGTATATCTGGCATCCTACTTTTCTCTGTGCAAGATTTTTTTTCCTCACAGGGCAACATTGAGACATGGATCTCCTCAGCTGCAGCCTGAAACAGAAAAACTTTGCTGTGTAGTTCCAGATGGAATTATAGGGTGCTAAGAGAGTAGTAAACTGCAAGGATTGATTTCACCAGCACTGTATTTCCCTTCCCAAATGTGTATCAATCTGACTTTGTAGTGTGCTTGAAGTTAAAGCTGCTAAAAATTGGATACAAGAAAAAAGGGAACAGGTGATATGGGGACAAGCTCTGTGCTCATGCTCTCCTTTTCGCATGATGTCTTTTAATTATTCCCGATTTACAGCAAGCTATAATTTCCATAGCATTTCTGCCAGCAAAGATTATACCTGCCCTGGAAACCACAACTAATTAAGTAGTGCTCAAGAACCTAAGCTTTTTGGAGAGGGGAAGTGAGAAATCACAGCATGGGTAGTGAAATTACTGAAATTGTGGCATTTTAAAAGTGAGATGGTGTTCTTTTACAACTTCTTCACTAATTATCACAGTACTAAAAGAAAGAATGACAAAAATTACTTTCCGTACTGTCCAAATTGTTAAGTAAGTCTAAGTTTAGTTCAAACATAATAGAAAGTAATACTTTCCCAGTATGTGAACACACCAGAGCAAGCCTTGGGCTCATTTGCTTCCCTACAGCTTGTTTTTTCTCTTGCATCCCTGAGGAGGATCAAAGCTTCTGCTTTCAGTTTTAAACTAACAACAATTCCTTGAGGGATCTGAACTTGGGGAGCTGAGATTTGCTTAAACCAGGGGTGGAGGACCTGTGACCCGCCAAATGTTTTTGGACTTCTGCTCCCATTAGCCTCAGCTGCAAGGCCAATGGTCAGGAATTCTGGGAGCTGGGATCCACCAACATCTGGAGAGCCAAAGGTTCCCCACTCCTGGTAAAATTTATGGTTAATGAAAAGAATCCATTATCATATCATGGTTTCAGATCTTGGCTTGTTCTCCCATAGTCTTCCTGAAGGAGCTAGTTTAAAACTTTTCTCGGAGGCATACATAAGCCTGAACACTCTACAACACCTTCTTTTATCATGATACCATGCTTTTCTTTTAGGTCTGAATAAAGCCTAAATCTCAGCACAAGGATTGCAACCGCCCTTTAGCAGTAGTCAGCAAGTGAGCACTGCACAGATACTGTGGAGGATACTTTTCATTAATAACATAAAACATTCAATCCTCCTTTGCTTTAAAAAAACCTGAATAAACTCTTAAGAAAGGTTTTTTCCTTCGCATAGTTGGCAGTATTTTTTCTTTATTGCAGTTATTTATAAACCACATTATGTTGCTTGTTTTTTTCCCTGACTTTGCTCATATTAAATCTGCATGACTACTAAACAAGAAATGTACTGAATTAAATCTGCAGATGAAACTGTTGAACCTTTACATCAAACGTGCACAAACAGGCTCTGGAGCAGGTGATGCAGCTGCTGATGTTCCTGGACAAAGCTAGTGAAGCTGATGCCCACATAACAGGTCTTGTGAAGAAAGACAGTCAGCTAAAGGAAAAGTCTCAAACACAGCTTTTGGAACTCTTAATTTTCATTGGGGTGTTTTTTTGTTTTTTATTTCCCCTTAACGGAGGGCTACTCTCAGCCTGCATGTGACTGTTGCAGTTACTCCATATCCAAGGGAAAAACAGTATTAATATCACTTGTTCGAAGCAAAATAAATTTTAAAATGCTAATCCATCATGTTCTCTGTTCACACTCTTCTGTGTGTCTTCCCATTGATTTTGATCAGTGTTACTGTACATTTTTCTTTTAAAAAAAACTAATTAAACAGGAATGCTTTAAGCTGTAAAAGCTAAAATCTAAATTTCTTTGTTTTTATTCCACTGCAAAGTAACATGTATCATTTTTTTCTGAAGCGGCAGGATTCAAAAACAACTAAGCCAAACTGGTCTGAATCACAACTAGACTAGGAGTACTGGAGGCGCATCCACATATGTATGTCTTTACTCAGGTAACTGAGTCAGAAAGCAAGCAGTGCTCATAAACAGCTGGATCAGTCCAGCTCTGTAAAAGTGGTTATAGTTTGCTGCTTGATATATTTGTCCCATACAAATTCCATGCAAACAAGGAGGACAAACTCAGCACCTCCTGTGTGGAAGAGAATTAAAATACTTTGTTGCAGACCTGGGACTGTTTAGCGCCCTGCCTTCCCAACAACAGATGAAGCAAACTCTCTTAATGGATGTGAACTACCCTTGTCACCACCTCTTTAAGCAGGATGCTTCAGAGTGGAGTGCTCTGCACAAGCATGCTCAGTATGTATGTATCACTAGAATGTTTCCTTTCCAACCCAGTTACTGGAACTAGTAGTTCTATCATTTTAACTCACATAGGGATATATGACAGCACTGCAGAAAAAAAAATCAGCAATGGGGGCTTTTTGCATTGAATTTTGCGGGGGGCGGGTACAGGAAGGAATCACACGCACTATAGACTTTGACACATTGGCTTGAAATTTTAATTGAATGATTTTGAAAAACCACACCAAATCTACTGAATAGCTTTCATAGTGGTGTCATCAAGGCCATCTGGATTGAGATGTGGAAATAAGGTTGTTTCTGTAACTTTTTTTAAACTTCATTGTGAATAATGCATCTTTGTATTTATGGACTTAATAACTGAAAGAGAGAATGAAAATTAAGTAAATGTCCCCAAATATCTTCTGTTTCTCAGATGTAAGCACCCTGCTTCTTAATTGAGAGGTGGGAGTGAGAACAGCACCCTTCTCACAATGGCTAGAGCATAGATTTTGTGACCAGGGTTACATCATCTAGTTTTAGAAATTTGATCTTTACAGGAGAGAAGATAGTGCCAAGGAGGATTTTTTCTGTACTAGGCTAAGATTCTCTCTACCTCTTCAGCGTGAATGCTTTTAATTAAGCTGCTACCCATAATGTCTTGTGGAAAAACTTTTGTCTATAGAAATATTTTTTTATTTTCCTTTTTTGTTCTTTTGCTGATGTGTATTCAAAGCCTGATTCTTTAACATGCAGCCAAATACCATTTATAAAAGAGTTAATATTACTTCACTTATTATCTTGAAAGAGAAATTGAAATACCTGCATTTTACATAATTTAACGATTACTTTGATCGGAAATGATTCTGGCTGGGAAAGACAAAATGTGGTTATTGAAGCTGTTGCAGAAAGCTGTTTATTGGGGAAAATATTTTAGAAATACATGTAAAAATACTAAAAATTGCATTATTCGTCACTGGCTTTTTTTAGCAGTTGCATCAGGAAAATAGTCTCCCCTTCCTCATTCTCATGTGTGTAACATTCTTGTTTTCTACTGTTCTATTACATTGTGTATTTATAGTTCTCTGCTTACCATTGTGCATATACAGGCAATAAACTGTACATAACATTACTTGAAAAATTTACCTTCGTATACAGCTGTGTTTCTGCTTTATTTAGTGGTAGATTTCATCATTTGTGGTATCTTAATTGTTATAACAATACCAATTTCCAGGTTTTTTGAACCTGCACAAATGATCTCACTGATCTAAGAATACAGATTTACAAAATTAAGCTTGTCAGAGCTAAACAAATCCTCAGTCCAGATGGCAAGCAGTATAATCAAATCAGATAAACATAGTTCCAGCTTATTCAGAGAACACAAAACTTTAATCATACTTTCCTTGATTCTTATTTCTCCTGAATCAACCTCTCCCATACACATTTTCCCCAGCCCAACAAGAGGTCCAGTATCTAAGCAGTAACTACAGCATGTATTGCGTGATAGACCTAAATGCACATACCAGTTTGCATGGAGAAGCTTGTCAGCCATCTTAAGCTGGCTACATGAGTCCCTCCGCCAGGACAACCAGTTGTTACATGTGAATCTCACAGAACAGCCTTCTGAGTTCTAGTGCTATCCAGATGCTTTCAACTACAATTTTCAGAATTTCTGACCACTGGCCATGCTGTTTGAGGTTGGATAAGTCTGCCATAGCTTTAAGTAGAACCTATTGGAGCACAATTCAAAAATTTCTTAGCCTGTAGAACTCATACAAATCCTTCTGTTTTCAATTATTTTTCTACTGCTTTTCACAGCAAAAAGGTAAGTTCACAAACAAAAGTGTAAAAATAATTTAAAGTAGTACCATTGAACATACACACAGGTAAAACAGCAGAACCTAAAATATAATTTCTAGTCTTGAATTACAGACACTTTGGCAATGAGAATTGAAAAGTAATGCTTAAGATATGGAAAAAGCAATATATATGAACAGGCTACCTTAGGAAAGACACCACCCCTTCTGGATCCCAAATGAAATACTCTACAAGTTAACAATGAGTGAAAATGATTCTGATATTGTAATTCCTAGTTCAAATTATTTAATAATGTCTCTCCAACAATTAGTAGGATATTTACAGGCTTCATTCCTGTTCATTCAGAATTTATCCTCTGTGCCATGAATTGGTAAGGAAGAGTTGAATAGTTATACCTTATATTCTATACACAACCATAATGCACTGATCCTCAAATTTGTAAAGTGTAGAATAATTGACATTGCACAAATAATAGGAAAACCTGTTGATTTTGACCTAATAAAACAAACTTCTGATGATTCTAACCAAATATAATTTTGAAAATTCTGTCAGATGCTTCTGAAACCACAGACAAGGTAAATCAAGCTGCAGAAGAGTTTGCATAAAGCAACATATCTGATTTGTACCATGGACAATCTATATTGTGTCCATTTTCTCTCACAGGTAAGTCATTACAACCAGCCAATACACCACGTACTATGTACATACAGCCAAAACAAAGTATGTCTTACTAATAGCTCTAAACATGCTTTTAGCATGATTGGAGGCTCTAACTCAGTCTTCCCTAAGGTGGTCTGGCTGTGGACCATGCTAACTGGGCCTGCTAGGAATGGAAATTCTATACATCTGGAGGGGGCTGCATTGGGGAAAGCTGCTGTAAAACAACTGAAATCAAACCTGCGATTTGAAATGCAGCCAACAATAGAAGGGTATATGTGGGTGTATGCAAACATGGCTTTTGTTGTATAAAAATAGATATTGGCCCACCTGTCACACCCACCAGTAGGAGGCAATGTTACATACATTTATAGTTCTCTCAGGCGTTTCCAATTACCCAGTTTGCTTTTTGATGTAAACACAGAACTGGGGCCGTGTTTCCGGGTGGGTCACTTAATTTGTGCCTATGATAACTTATCAGAACATTTCCAATGCGTTTTCTAGTAAGGATGTGCACCAGTCTCTCTGCTTCAACCCAGACCCCAGTTTGGTGCTCTGGAAAATAGACTGATTCTGCTTGGATTCATTCAGATTTGGACCATCCCTGTTTGGTATCAAACCAAAGTTGAGGTTGGAAAAGCAATGCTTGGTGCCTTCCACTGACCATCATGGGCAATAGAAAAAAAAACTTTTTTTTCTCCTTGGCAGAACTGAATTATAGTTGCAGGTATTGCAAGACCTTGTTGTTGTTATGTGCTATCAAGTCATCTCCCAAGTTATGACAGCCCCCTGAATGAAAACCTTCCACAATGTCCAGTACACAAAAGCTCCACTCAGATCTTCTAAATTCAAGGCTGTGGTTTCCTTTATAGATTCACTCCATCTCATTTCATTGGTCGTCTTTTTCTTCTGCCTTTCACTTTCCCTAGAATGATCGTCTTCTCCAGTGAGTCTTGCTTTCTCATGATGTTTCGAAAAGCAGCACCTTAGGAATGGATTTTATCTGGTCATTGTGAGAAAAAATAGGTGCAGAAATATTTGCACTACAAACTTTAATATTTTGATGTATTTAAAGGATTGCTGATTGTGTGGCAGAATTACTTTTGTGAAAGAAAACTGCGAGGACAGTTGCTCCTTCTGAGGCAGGAAACCAAGCCTGCCAAATTTTAAAATGATAGCCATGGTGGGTTTTATGCAAGAACACCCTTGACATGTTGAAGCTTCCCAATAAAAGATATCTCTATCCCCCTATCTTACATGGTAGACCATCATTCCAAAAGTCACAAGCATCCCTATGTAAGAAACTTCCAAATACAGCAAGTTCATATTAGGACAGTCATTTCTGTGGAAGCGAATCTTCAGTTTGGGTAGGGAAGTGATACATTTCCTGCTGCCATGGTGTTTTGGTTAATTTGAATGAAAATGGCACACACAATAGAGGCATGTCCAGGCAAGAAATTTTTCAAGTTTCAGAAGGCTATGTTCAGGGATTAGGGAGTTATGTTACTAGGTTACTTAAACCTAGTTTAAAACCTCTTCAACTTGGCTTTGAAAGAATTGCTGTCCTACAGTCCCATCCTTGGCCTCCTGCAAAGCACAGTGATTAGAACCCCTGGTAAAATGTACTGTAGAAGTAGAAGGTGCCCCTGTCAGTCACTCAGCTCTGCTCCCTCCTTGCAGCAATTGGAGTAAAGAAAACCAATGCTATTTGGAGACAAAGTCATAATCAAAAGAAACAGAAATTGATAATGAAGCTTCATTCTGACGCAGCTTCCATTTTGTTGGCTTCAGAAAGAAGCCCACCTAGCTTTGGAACCCAACAGAACAATACCAAGGAGGTTTGATTTCGCTTAGGCTCTGGATTTGTCTAAATGCAGTGCAAATTCTTATTTAAAGTATATTGAGTATGCATGCCTCCTTGAAGGGAACTGTCATGTACAACTCATTGTGTAAATCCAGGTTTCCGGTTTATAAAGAATATTCCTAGTGCTGACAGTAATACTCTCTGGTCTAGCTGTTGAGCTGAATATAGAGATGGATTCTTCCCCATCAGATATTTTCCTTAATTCTCCAGCCTTAGGTTCCCCTTCCTTAGTGTTTACTTTGGGTTTCCATTATATCACCTCCTCACATTATTTCTGTTGCTCCTGCCATGTAACTGTCTTCCATCTCAATATATATTAGTGCACTGCCAATGCATCAGGCAATACTGACATCAGTCCCAGGGTTTAGAACAGCTGTCCTTCCATTATCTGCACTGTCATTACGGCAGACCCTGACTGTAATTTTATTTATTTGTTTGTTTGATTTCCATCCCACCTTTTTCTTTTTAAAAAGGACTGCAAATATATAGCTGAGTCATAAAGAAGTCATTCAGGCAACAGTTGCTACTGCCTTTTTTAGGTTAGGCATGTTCTCCTTCAAGCCACAAAGACTGGTCTTTCTGGGAAACTATTGGATTGGTAGAACTACCAAACTCTACAACCTGTCTCTTATTCTGACAAATGCTTGGGGCACAGTTAATGCAAGGAAGGAGGGACATGCTGAATATCAGTGCTTCTCCTGTGATCATTCCCTAAAAAAGAGCTGAGCTGTGGGAGCAGCAAGACACTAAGAGGCCTGGTAGATTTGACTAAGTCTTCACCTAGTCAAATGTTTGGCTCTCACATTGGCCAACCAGCTGCCTCTGGAAAGCAGGCAAGTAGGACATGAGTCATGAGTGCAAATAGCATCCTCCTACTTGGCTTCCCAGGAAGCTGCAATGCAGAAGCACGCTGCCTCTGATTCTCAAGTTAATACATAGCCGTCATTACTAGTAGCCATTGATAGCCTCCATGAACCAGCCGTCTCTGAAGCACAGGTCTAGAATTACATGGAAAATAAAAGGATTTGGGCTTCATGGCACGCCACATTGTAACTTAGTAAGGGGGACTTTTAAAATTAAAACTACATTTTCCCCACAGTTTATTGGAGGATCAGTAGCAAAATTATTTTAACAACAACAACAACACTTTTGCTCTATAGTATTTTGAATGGTATCAGTATGATTGATGGGAAGAGAATATTCATGAGGTAAGCGGAATTGTTTTAATGAAATGTGCGCCTTCACAATCTAAAGTGTAGGCAAAAGTGTTCTGGTCCAATAGGAGAATCTGTTTGACACACATCAAGTGAGCATTTGGCCCAGCAAAATCCAAAGGTTATACCTTGGTGAGCACTCAAGGGAAAGACAAGGCTACCAGACGAGCCACCTTATGTTTTCTTTTTATTCTATATACAAAGATGCTCATTTTAAAATATGTAAATTCATAATACATTTTAATAGTAACCCATGCATACGCCAGTCATCTTCACTGGAACATACTACATCCACCTAGATTTTTAGGTTTGTTGCTCTGCCTGTGCATTCAATTGCAAAATTCAAGAGGTGTTTTAAATAAACAATATTGCTTTATGTTTCCTACAGAGTGTTCCTTTTGAATGACACTGGGTGGGCATGTAGCCCAAGAAATGCCATGATGGAACACAACAAGAAGCTTTTATGAACAATAAATATTGCAAAATACTTATGGTCTTACTGAATGCCAGTCATTATTTTCTCCCCAAGCACAGCAGAAGTGTTTGTGTCTTTGTGCGACAGAGAGAGAGAGAATTCTGTGTTTATTCTTTC